TCACGAAACTAGTCATTACTGAGCACATTTTACTATATTTTCAATTAGACCACCGTTAGAAACCTGGATCCAGGACAAAACGGCCGTCCAGTGCTTCCAGGTTTCTAATGGTGGTCTAACAATGATTGATTGATGATTTCAAATGTGTCAAAACGCAAACCTCCAAAACTCTGCCCCAAAATATTGTTAAAATACTTTCAAATGTCCTCCATATTCAATAACTTCAATAGTCTCTTCAAAAAAATATATATTGAATATTACCGAAATTATGTATTTGTGTGAAAGAAATTCATGTTTTCCAATGAAAAAATGATAGAAATATTTACTTTTCAATAAAATTAAAACTAATGATTTGACATAAAGTGTTTTGCATTAGTTCATTGGAACATTTCAATTCAATTATATCTCAAAATATTAAACTATGCACACAAAGAATTAATTAAAGGCCTGTATATGAACATAATAAATTTATATTCTACACAACGACAAACCATTCATTATAATAATGTAGATAAACATATTCACGCTTAACTTGAATGTTTCAATGTTTAATCTGTAAACAAATTTCATATTCATGGTATTTCACTTGTTTAAATCTATGCCAATGAACATTGACAGACTACAGGTTTTTTCCTTACATTGATTGATAGATCCAGTTCAAAATGATTGACTTCTAATAGAGCATGTGATAAACACAATTAAATAAATTTCTTTTCACTCATATCTTCCGATTAATAGAAAGCAAATTCATTTTAAGTGATAAGAATTATTCAAACGAAATTAACAATAAAAAAATTAAGTCTTAAAATACAGTGAGTTCATTCATAGTCAGTCAGCCAGTTACAACGTAGAACATCGTACGTAAGTACATAAGTTCAGATTGCCATACCACACTAACACAAAAACGCAATTATCAATTCAAATCCCATAGTTGTACAGATAGTAGAAAAATTACTACTAAGGGAGATTAGGATCTGAAGATAATATTCAAGAAGTATAATTCAGTGAGATAAGTTTAAAAAAGCAAAGGTGAATGTGTTGACGAATCCAGAAAATTAGGATTTGAGAGAACACAAAGAGTGAATTCACGCGAGCCATTGCAAACGATTCTGAGCCATGTCATTCAAGGTCTCTAACCATTGGTGACTTTCGTCTCGCGGACCCCAAACACGTAGCCTACATCTACCAACATGACTCAGTCCACTTGTCAGTGACTTCATGGATTTGTGCCATGTTTTGGTTTGACCGCCCCTAGTTTTCCTCCAACATATTCCTACATCACAAAACATAGCTCGTCAAGGCAGTCGGTGGTTAGGCATTCGTAACACATATCCAAACCACCTCAACTGATGAAGTTTCACTACTTCATGAATTGATTTGCCACCCTTACCTAGTACTTGTTTCCTAACGACAGCATTGCTTACTCGGTTGTCCCACGATACGTGAGCAATGCTTCGGAGACATCTATGATCGAATACTAGTAACCTACGAATATCTTCTACTCTGACTGGCTATGTTTCGCATCCATATGACAGAAGGTAGCGAACTGCTGCACAGTACACTCTTCCTTTGGTTAGCAACCGGATATCTCGCCTTTGCCATGAGTGACGCGGCTCGGCAAAAGCCAATCGAGCTTTCTGTATCCGTGTTGAGATTTCGTCACAAACCAGGTCTGTGAACTAGTTCAATTAAAAATTTCTATGATCTACTAATTACAAAAAATTAATATTTTCAACGAAACTAAACCAAATGTAAGTTTTATCATCCTAATTGGGGTGAATCGATTGGATCTGTCTACATCCAAGTGATAATCTTCAAACTTAAGATGATAGATAAATGAAATTCCAAATTTCAACTCCAAAGAGTAAGAGGAGAAATCTGATATTCTCTATTTTCGAGAGCTAGAAGAATCTGTACAGAGGACACGATAAGCGTAGAATTACATAATATCCGACATATGCTTATAGAAAAAGGAGTGTATCACGAACAATCTACCGCTTTCGCCAATTCACTATGTATCTACCAGTTTATTTGCTTGCTATACTGGCTGCACCAATCGTACTTTTCCAAATGCATACCTGAGCTCTCACGATCCAGTATGGTTATCGAAAAATAACTGCAAGTCAAAAAGAAGCTGGGTAAGAAATTTGTGCACAGTGGAAACTTTGGCGATTTACCAATTTCAGGCTAGGATTTCTGTCTAGAAGCGGTATATATGCAGTTCCTTAGTTTACCATGGTACTAAAATCCCTTCATATTTTAACGCGTTCGGTGTTTTCTCATTTTTCAATTATCAGATGGATAATTATTTCTAAAAAACACTAACATCTTTTACATCTCGGTTGTTCTAACACGTCTTTTGATATCATCTTCGTTACAATGGCTAAGTGAGTGATATTCCATTATATTCTTATTACCCTATGACTACTAGTTCATTCTAAATTCTGATTGTCTTTTATTATCTCTTCTGTTAACACGAAACTTCCCTACAGATCACTATATGTAACAAATTACTATAAATAAGATTTTATAGCTTTAGTAAATGATACATTTGAACAGAAAACTTTCTTTGCTGAAGTATTTTTTTTTTGATGACCAAACAAGTTTCGTTCGTTTTCTTAGAAATCTCAGATAGGTGATATGTGCACATATTTTCAACACTAAAAAGTGAACAACATGTAAGCAACTTATTCTTAACTGTCAAGTTTGATCAGCAGTAACTTTAAAAAACGAAGAAACCGATTGTTTAAAATTATTATTGACAAAAAGGATCATTGTCAGTAGTGTGTAATAAATAAATTCACTTGTAGTTTATTCTGAATTTTGAGTGTTAAGTCTGATTTCTGGACATTGAAATTATGTACACAAATGATAGGATCTTACTGGATAGTAGTTTTGACAAAATAAATCTAAGCATTTTATAAGAGTCCTAGAGTGTTTAATACTCAGTTTTATCTATCTCTTCAATCAATGATATTGTCGGAATGAAAATCTTTTTCGGAATGTATTTATTTCCTCATGGGTCTTTAACATGTGTAAAACAATGTCAAATTCAAATTAATTATTATGAATCGATCACCATTAAAAACCAAGGAGCACTGGATGGTCGTTTCGTCCTGGAATGAGAGTCATCAGCATTGCGCATCCAAGACTCCTAATACTCATAGGAATCGAAGCCAGAACCTTCAGTCTTGCGCGAGAACGCTTAGTATCTGAACCACTGAGCCGGTATCCAGCGGTGCTGATGTCGAACTTCGATTAACTCACAGCATTGTGCAAGCCCATCCGCTGTCTTCGGCGAGCGCTGCCTCACACTCGAACTTGGGTGGACTCCACTGGTCACGACTTCGCACTAGAACTCGGAAAAACTTTCTCACTGAATGCAATTTACTAAGTGAAATACTTATCGCAACTAAAATGCACATTCTGTAATGGAAAGAATGTAGAAGCTACTTTACGGACTATTACTGTGTGGTGACCAATTTCTATGTGTTCTTAGTCTTTGTAATTATCTCGTTCAGACAATCGTTACTAAATGGCGTCTGACGGTTATAAATCAGAAGGTAAACTCGAAGTGTTGAATACGTTTATTTTGGCACACCACAAGCAGACCGGGCAGGCACACTAGCGAGTGAGTTAATAAGATTAAAATGTTCGTATATATACATAGGAAGATACCTGAGTCATCGCGGTATTTAAGAGATCAATATTAAAGCGAATAGGATGCATATGCGCGTAGGCGTTAAGCAATGCTCAGTCATACCAGCTCATACAAACCACACAATAATAAAAGCCAATGGTACATATAAGTTATTGTTATACAAATGGCTTGGTTAAATAAATTAATCGGAAGGGCTTGACCAAATTAAATGTAAGCGAACTCGAATATACGTGGAGGCACTACAACCGCATTCTTAATTGAGACTGCAGAGACAATCAGCAACAACGTAGAACTTCGTACGTACATACGTGCGTACATCAGTTCAAGTTGAGATACAACATTAACACCGAGATGCAATTATCAATTTAAATCTCATAGTGATAGAGTTAGTAAAAGTATGATTAGTAATAGAAAAGATTAGGGTTTGAAGATGTTATTCACCAAGTATAATTCAGTGAAATAAAGTTAAAAAGAGTAAGGCAGTGATGAGGAATTCAGATCAGAATTTGAGAGAATTTAAAGAATGGATGCACCTGCGCCATTGCAAACGATTTTGAGCGATGTAATTCAAGTTCTCTAACCATCGATTACTATCATACCGCGGACCACAACCAGGTAGTCTACATCTGCCAACATGACTCAGTCCACTTGTCACTGACTTCATGGATTTCCGTCATATTTGGTTTGGCCACCACTAGCTTCCTTCCAGTCTACTACTATATCACAAAAACTTAGCTCGTCGAGGCAGTCGACTAGATAAGGTCAAAGAGTCAAATGGCTGGAACGTTTTCGATTTAATAAACTGTCTTCTCTTTATTTTGTTCGTGCATATCGAAAATTTTACCTTATCTACTATTCGATTCAACATATTATGTGCACGCCGATGTCAAATTGTATAATCTTTTTAAAAAATTGCCGAACTCTTTTGATTTTTTATTATTATCTGACATAACGGATGTACACGAACTCAAGCTCACACCTATTTGTAATAACTTACACGATAGTTGCTTCTTACATCGTGATTTCGTAAACATTTACATTTTCCGTTCTATTAAATTTAACATTTATTTTTTTCGCAAACACAGAATGAATAATAGTCCAAACCGTTTCCGACATGATTTTGCAAAAAGTCTCTCCTTGATAAGTCTGAATAGCTGTCTACTGTCACCTATCGCCGTTGCCTTTTCCATCCCTCTCGCTTCCGCTACCCACCACTGTTCGCCATCTTGGCGTAGGCTTTTTATCAGCATGCGCTCAAGCTGACTCCACTCCTCATCATGATTACTCTATTTCATACATATCTACAGTGAATCATTGAACATATAACCTAGAATGGATGAAGAAATAGGAACACTGACTGCAAACATTGTTCTATGTAAAATCTGTTTCTTCTACTATAAGCGTACAACCAATAGTGAAGCGTACATGAATCCCCTGGGAAGTTGATGCATCTTCTAAAATGTGTTTACGTGTTAAGATATTCCAATGACATACAGAAACCTGAAACATCACACACACTGACGTCTAACAATCAATACGAAGTACTTAACAATGCAGTTCCAATTAAAATATTATCGTTAAATGAAAGAGTTAAGTATGACAGGATTGTCTTGGATACGAAGTTAGCAAGTGATCCCAAGAACAAAATCAGGCATACATCACTTACAACGAAAAATTATTGAAATTAACCTTGATAAAACGAAACATTTTAAATAGACAAGAATAGATGTTATGTATTTGTATATATATGTATATGTATATATAAAATGGAGATCCGAAAAATTAAGTACAAGACAGCAAACAACCTGACCACCAAAAGAGCAACAAGTAGCAGGTTAAACAAGTAACTGATAATAACAATAATGAGAATAACCATCATAATAAACAACGCCTAAAAACAAAATGATGCATATATATGTTGTAACTGTCCTTTTGTAAGTCATACAAAATAAAAATAAAAACAGAAGGAGAAGGAGGAGGAGGAGGAATTATTGTTATAAACTAGACAAGACAGAAAAAAACGAGAAAGTGATCACACTAAACCCCATTTTTGATAAATAAACACACACATTGCAATTCAAATGGAAAAAAACACTCTAGTGTAGTAATTTATTAATAGTGACCGGTAAACCATTGATGGATATGTTAAAAAGTCAGATCATCGGACAATCAGAGAAAGAGAAAGAACTTGAAAGGAATAGTAACTCGTTAAAACAATATTTTAAAAAATAATAGTAGAATAATTCACCAGCGCATAAAACAATCTGATCATGTCATCAAATGATCTAATATCTTTGTATAATTGAATACATTGGCGCAAAATAATGTGAAAACAAAGTAGATTTTCTTTTCATCTTCTATTTGTAACGGTAATAAACGCCAATAATAATAGTAAGGAAATAATGTTTAAATCACTGTCTGTATGTCAAGCTTTTTTTTCCACGTTTCATCGATTCTTAACCATGAGATTATACATACAATTCAAGCAAGAGACGATGCAAGAAAAGCAACACCACGTTCGTAGAAACGATTAGATGATTCAGATGACATTAATTGTAAAGTGAATAATACAACATTACGTGAACCATTCATATAAACTGGTAATCGTACATTACCTTCTTTCTCTAAGAAACGTTCAACTCGTTCATTATTAGATAATCTAAAAAAAATGTTAGTAAAGTAAAGTACATAACATGTTATATCCACTCATTATTTATTTAATGAAAAACTACTAGATAATGCCTATCATATTCATAAAATGGGCGACATGAAGCCATACAATACCGTTGTGTTGTGCTGTGTCCGATTCTAATCCTGTCTGAAGCCCTACTAAAGTGACTGCCGGTTTCAAGCCTGATTACAGGAGGAGGATTATGAATGAGCTGAGCAGCTTCATCATCTCGTTGGAAACAACCTTACTGAAACAAATGCTAACCAGAAAACATCTTTCCAACCATTTACAACCTGCCCTGGTGGTTGAAGGGTTTCCAATTAAAAGAAATGTGACGCCTCATGATGTAAGCCGAAGTTCTTCGAAAGTCACGAGGTCGATGTTGCTTCCCATAATCAAAGTATATGGTGTCCACACACCGTGTAAGACCGGAAGTGACATCCAGGTTGCTGAAGAAATGAAGATATACAACCTGATGGTACCTAGAATAAATGAAACCCTTTGGAGGCATGTTGGGCAAAAAAATTAGCTTCAGGAAAGATACTATTGCACTCCAGTCATAAAGAAAACTATCTCGTACACGCAGAGAATCGCGCTGATATTGTCCAAAAAAGTACGGAAAGCACTAATAGGATGGGAATCTTATGGACACAAGGTCATCAAATTCGCTATTTGCAAGCCCAACCGGCTACTTAAGCGAGGAAAAATTCTTTTATTGGCAAATCGAATATTTTATATATATATATATATATATATATATATATACCTTAAAAAGCAGTCATATCTCCAAATTAATAACATGTGCCTCACAAAATAAAGCAGGAGACCATATCTTGGATAAATGAGTTTGATTAACAGTTAGCAATGTATAGTTGTTGGTTTAGCGTATCAGATAATTATTTTGATCTGAAAATATTAAACTGAAACACAGATGGAAGTAACAGACTATCTAACGGCTGATCAATACCATGGCAACGGTCTACAAATTCGTATACTCCTCCTGTTATTGTTCTTGATCACATTAATAATGACCGCTAATCAGCAAAAATGCACTTTCACAAACTTCAACGGAATTGCATGTCATTGTTTCCACTATTTTATAAAACAATGCAGTTTTCGTTACACTTTAAGTAAAGGAATTTGTATAATGTAAACAATGAATGTTACAAGCTATTTCATGCGCAGCAACTACCAGTTAAGAACAAATCAAAACACACCCATAACTGTGAAAATATTCGAACGTTTCGCGAAAGCAGAAAAAAACTGATAAATTGATGATGCTTATGGAATAAAATAACTTACCTGATCCACTTTAATACTGTCACTGGGAGTTCAACTGAAATGGAACTTGATAACTGAATTGTAGTTGCATTCAACGGTTCTGCACCCATTAACCATAAATCTCGAACAACAAACGCTCCAGAATTTGATGAAGGGAGTTGAGAAGGTTTCTTACCTTTTTCCATCACTACAAGTTCAACATCTAAGTATAATTCTTCAAGAGCCCAACCGTTGGATTGAGCTACAAATTGTCTAGTAGCTGTAACATAAGCTTCAGGCATAAAAAGTCCGCCTAACCAAACCTGAAAAAAATGTACATTTTGCAGAAAATTATCCGACAAAGTTAAATAACTCATATATGAAATGTTATATTACTTTGAAATATATACAACAATAAAAATATAATCTACAGCATATCACAAAATTGATAAGACAGAATAAATTCTAGCAAAAAATACTTGTTCACAAGTCTCTTTGAGATCATTGCCAAAACAAAGTGAAGTTTAACTGATATTGTTGTAGTATACTGTGTAATAAGATTCGATTTAAGTACTTTTCAGTCAAGCAAAGCATTTACTCGCTATTTATATCTTTTGTACATTTTATGCATTGTAAACTTGTTATCAACACCTGAAAGATCCTAGAACTCTACAATACTCAAATTACCGACCAACGAATCGATAATACACTTTTGAATTTCCAAGTTTGAAATATCAAAATCACCGAAATATTTTTTTGAAAAACCAAGTGGTTTGAACTAACACTCGCGAACTATTTAGCTCAAAGCCGAGTAGACAGGTCTGTACCTGGTTACTAAATAATATCATTATCATCATCGTAGGTGGATCTGCTTTGAACATATTCAATACGATTCATACATTAGGCGACCCAGTCTTCATAAAGAAGATCAAAGAACATTGTCGAAATTTATCACTTGAAAATAATGTGACGCAATTTCCTGTTTCCAGTCAGTAAATAAATACACTTTAGTGCTCGTAGTAATTCACGCAGAGAAGTGATGCAAGGTTTAAACCGGTAACCAAATGACTGCAGGTTATGTTTTACCTTTCAAGGCATAAATCCTTCTTGAGTATATGAACATTAACTTAAAGAATTGAATACAGGAAAAAATCTGAATCTTCAGTTAGACTATAAACATAAAGAGATCGAACATGCAAGTGATTTCTAACTAACTGATTAAACTAAAGTGGTGGTAACTAGTGTGTGTATATATGAGAAAACACAACCTTGCATTAAGCCGAATAAGTGTAATTCACTAATTGGTGCACAATACCACAAAAAATATAAAAAAGGCAAACACTGAATGTATCCGTATCATTGATGCTAAGGTCAATGCGTCAGATGAAAATGCAACAATTTTAAAATGAATTTTAACACAATCAAAACGGTTAAGAGCGAATGAAACAAACCTGAATATCTCTCAAACCAGCGACTCCATTCGAAGATGTTTCAGTCACTAATAATAATTGTCTCAAACGAGAAACAAGGTCATTTATCCACTGTATGACAGTCAAACCTTCAGGGAAAGTGTAACGTCGCCAACCTTTTGGAATAATTCCTTTTGTTAGGTCGGACATCAGAAGACGATGATGATTTGTTGGTTTTCGTTCACCAGAACACACCTAAATGATGTAAACAAAACCAGATTAGTATTAAGCATAAAGATCATAGTTTCTAAAAAAAAATTTCTCGCTTTAACCAAATAGGTAAATAAATCACTTTCATTCGATAAGCATTTAAGATCAAATGCCAAAGTCCACTGATAACGATGAAATAGGAATAGATGTTTATTGAATCTAAGCATCAAGATATATATAATGTTACAGAGATTTTTTCAGTCACAGAAATAAACAAGTGATAAACACCAATATTGATAAACGTTTTGATGGTATACATCATATCAAACAAAACGAATACAAGATTAAAGTTTTAATCTCAACACTATAATATTGGAAAATTTAGTGCATTAAATAATTAGAATAACAGACATTCTACAAACGTTCCGGAGGCTTATAAAGTGCTAGAATAGAAATATCCAGTAAAATAAAGCGACCAATTAGGAAATAGCGGGATTCTAGAGATTTTTTAAGTTGATAGTCGGTTTCATATTGTCTACTTATAAATACCACACCTAATAACTCGATACTCTGAATGTCAGGATAAAAACAATCAAACGGTTAGAATCCCAAAAGTTTCCGATTTTATTTACCCTACCCAAAAAGTAGACAAAAAAACCTAGGTAAGACTGTCTTTAGTGTCTAAAACAAAATAATTCACTCAATACTTACAGCAATCACAACACTAAGATCTCCACGAACTGTTGTCAAAAGACTACAACCAGTATTAACTTCCCTTTCGAAAAATCGATAAAGTGGATCGCGTAAATTTTCAGGTGTACGAATCAATGGTTTCAAGGTATCCGGTAGAAGTGAAAGCCAAGTTGTAGCACTAGATAAAAGTTGACGCATCCATAAAGGTCGAGTATCCGTGTCCACTACTGACTTCTTACGATCTAATCCAGTGCTAACAACAATTGTATCATCATCACTGATAGCTTCTTGCAGTTTTAGAAGATTACTGATCATTTCACTTCCTATTAAAATTAGAAAATAATTCAAATAAATAATTCAACCAAAACTAAAAAGAAATATTTCGTTATTAAAAAAACAATTTAGTACAATGAAAAAGTGTATTCAAATTTTCAGTACAAAAGTCTAAAAAATGTGATAATTCATCAGAAACTGAGAAAAGTCTAATTGCTGTGTCCGACTAGTAGTTATAGCAAAAGTCAACAACTGAAAAATTCCAGAAAACTTCTTCTAGTTATGGCGAACCGAATCAAGAAAATTCATCTAACTTAGCGAAGCCAAAAATTGAGACGAAATTGCTGTCTCTAATCTAGAGCTTTAGATTATTATTAATATTATTATTTTTAATCTGATTAAAACACAATGTTGGGGTAGAGTTTTGGAGGTTTGTGTTTTTACACATTTGAAATCATCAATCAATCATTGTTAGACCACCATTAGAAACATACAAGCACTGGACGGCCGTTTCGTCCTGGTATGGGACTCATCAACAGTGCGCATCCACGACTCCTGCTCCTCGCAGGATCCGAACCCGAGACCTTAGGTATTGTGTGCGAACGCCTAACCATCGGAACACTGGGCCGGCATACAACGGTGTTAATGTCTAACTATGATTGATCTAGGGATTTTGCGCGACCTCACCCATTTGTCTTTGTTAGTTACTGCCTACACCCGACAGGGCTGAACTCCATTGGTCACGTTTTCTCAACTAGAACTCCGAGAATTTCCTCACGAAGCTAGTCACTAGTGAGCACTGTTACGATATTTTGGGGCAGAGTTTTGGAGGTTTGTGTTTTTACACATTTGAAATCATCAATCAATCATTGTTAGACCACCATTCGAAACACTATCGACTAATTATTATAATAAATAGAATTTATAATCTTCATATATCTCCCAACTAATGTATTGAGAAACTCAATCCATGAAAAAACCATCTAGAAAGTACTGATTCTGTGAAATTTTTTTGGAAAAATTGCATGCCATCTAAACAAAAAATTAATACTCATGTTTCTGAGTGTATCGTAAAAATCGATAATCAGTTAGTGAAGTTACATTGCCTCATAAATTAAATAATCAAAGAAAATTTAATCGATCTATTTCATGGAAAACATATGATAAGGTGTATGTAGACTAAGCCTACTAAAAATACTACATGCACTATAGTTGTCAGGGCAAAAAACTAAAAAAAAATGCGACTGCTTATGAAAGGTTTCTTTTCGTTTTATCTCATGAGAAACTTAATAATAACAGTAGTAACAGTAGCAATAATAATTTTTAGTCTATCAAGCAAAAAAAAACAAATACTTTTTCTAAGCCATGTATATTTTTTTACATACCTAGATTAGTCAGAAGCACTTTCTCTGCATTGTTCGGTAAACCAAGCCAAGAAGGAGTTTGAACATCAGGCAACTTTGAAATCCATGATAAGAGTTCATCACGTGAACTGCCATCTGGTGTCACGATATTTTTGCCTACTTGTCCATCGACATTTCGAACAAGAGGGAAATCATGCTATAAAACGCAAGTAAAGTAGGTTAAATAATTAATTCAATTAATAAGATTATAGGATCTTGACTGTCAAGTTGAACAGTATGGTAACAGACAGATAAATTTAAGTAGATAGATCATAATAATAATAAATAACATTGAGGTTATAACTGATAAATAAATAATGACTTACTTCAAAGCTAGATTCTGTAAACAAAACACTGAGGAAAGTTTCCAGCAAACGTTGATCGAAGAGATTATCAATCTTACCACCATAAATACATTGTCCTAATAATGTGCGTAATGCGGCCCAAGGTACTTTATCAGGTGGTAAATTAGAACGTCCCAGTGCTGCCATATCAACCCAAGTATCAATGGTATCACAGGCAACTTTAAGATCAGATTCATTGAATTCGTATCGCTTGGACCAACCTAAAGGAACATAACGCAATCGTTCTTGTACTACAGCATTGAACCAAGCGAGTAAGAAATAAAGGCGAGCTCTTTCAGCAGGTGCACGAGAAATTCGATTAGCAGGAACATTGGCAAATGTTCGTAAAAGACTTGCCTGAAGTATTAAATAAAAGACAATCATTACTACATTATTATATGTGAAAATGACTGATAGGAAATAAAACAGGCCAAACATATCCTGTTAAATATAAAGTATAAATGAATCAATCACCAGAAATAGCTAACAAAAATACAACTAACCTTAATACCAGGCGGTGGTTCAAACACTAAAACACGACCAGAACGTAATACATTTACAGGTAGTTTGGGATTTATTTCCATTGTAAGGAATAGTCGGAAGTTTGGATGAGGCTGTACACTATGAAGCTTCTTCTCCATTTGTATCAACCAACCAGAAGCCAAATGAACATTTTTCAACATAACCCATTTACCACTTTTTGCAGCAGAATTGATTGCTTTGTCAGCTTGTGAAAAGCCTTCAGAAGAACCAATAGCTATACTTGTTAGTTGTTTGCCGTGTTCATTTGCCAGGTCTTCCACTCGACCACTTGGATCAAAACCCTTCAAAATAACAAGACAAAAATATGAGAGTTACAACAATAGATAAATTTGTAATATTATATATTATCATGTATCAATCGACCAGTAGCCCATACTCCACTTCGGGGCAACAGGTGTGAGTAATCAACTGACCAGGTAAAAGTGTCTTAAAGACATTTCAAAGTTATTATATCAAAAAGGAAAAACCACTGTAGTATAAAATTGATCCAGTTTACATGCAGATTACAAAATAAGAGAACATAGAGTGAATTCGTAGAAAATGCATACAAAAACATATTACGGAAATTAAGATAGTTGACTGAGAATGAGTTTTATTGAAGAACAATTACGGGTTAGGAAAGATTAGTTCTTAAACGACTATCTTTAAACCATTAACTATGATCAAACTGGAAACTGCATTACAAACAACAGAAAATCAATGACTCACTTGTGCAGCACACAGCAAGACTGGTATATTCGCCCGGATTTCATGCTCTACAATTGACATTAATTCTAAATGACCGCGGGCTGACTCCATAAAGTTTTGTCCAAAACATGTGATGACAAAAAGATGGGCAGCAGCAAGAATTCGATCAGGACGGAAAGCTTGAATAAGAAGAAGACTGTACAGTTGGTTACGTACAACTCCAAACCAATCATTTGGTGAGTTGGGTGCTTCCCACAATTCAGGAACATCTGCCTGTAAAAGACAGTATAAGTAATCTTTAAAACATGTTTTATTTTAATAAAACACTAATTAAACTGATAAAAACTATATGAAAATATAAGTAATCCGTAAATATGAATTCAAAAAATTTACTTACTTCTGGTGAAACACTTTCCAACCAAGATTTGCACAGATCACTTTTTTGAGAAATTAACTTATCTAGATTTTTAAAAGCAGTAAGCTTTGCTTTCAAGCATTGACCTTTGTTCATCAGATATGAAGTAGTATCAGTATCACTAGTTGAATCATCGCCACCTTTCTTAAGTGTTTCTTGTCCATGAAGGAAACAAGTGAATTCAGTTTCTAGTCCATTTTGTTGAACATTAGGTATACCACTGACTTGTCCTTTAATGAATATACGAGCCAATAAGACAGATAAGGTAATTTGATCTTTGTACAACATTCCTCTCGCAACCCGGTTGTAAGTCACCTAAAATTACACAAATGAATATATGTAATTATTGACACGATTTGTTTGAAATCACAAAATAAATTGAAAAGCTTATTGTAATTGTGCGAAAATTCCGGATTAACTGCTTGAGGATTTGAGATCATTCACTGTGAACTTTAGATGTCAGTCAGTTGCAACGTAGAACTTCGTACGTATGTACATAAGTTCAGGTTACCACGACACATTAACACAGAGATGCAAATGTCAAATCAAATCCCATAGTGATAGAGATAGTAGAGGTATTAATGGTAATGAAGAAGACTAGGGTTTGAAGATATTATTCAAGAAGTATAATTCAGTGAGATAAGGTTAAAAGACGACTTAATTCGAAATATATGAAAGTGATGGGAATCCATTCTTACAAACTATACTCTAAATACTGAACTGGAGCAGCGATTTTGTGACGACAAGCCGTTCGGTTGAAAGTTCGGACTCTGTCCTAATTAATGAGATTTAGAAAACCAAGTAGTATCATTAAACTTGACAGTTAAAGTGCAGTTCATACTCAGCTGGCAAATGAGTTGATTAGTTAAAATACGAAGTTGATTATTAATTGATATTTTTACACTCTTATGTTTAGTTTCTGACAACTACTGACGCTATTAACTGGATTCCTTTACTTTACACATTGTTATATATATATAGAGGTACATTCATTTCAAATCTTAGGATGTCTCCGGCCAACAGATAAACTGATGTTATGAGATATATAAAAAAAAATTACATAAAATAACGATAACAATTTTAATTGATACTATTCAAAGATTTAAAAATATCCATACACAAAATTTAAAACTCATGATAAATAAATCACATACTTGGAATAAATCTTTGGTTATAATTTGTAAACGTTGAACAAAATCTTTGACATCTTTCAATCGAACATTTTGAGTTAACACACAATTGAATATATCCAAGAGGAATTGTAATGAGTATTGATAAAGAAAATGTACTTGATTCATTGCTTGTAGAGTGAAATAAATACTTGAACATGATTGTGCAAGAGCTACATATTGATGTGATACAGATTCAACTTCTTTCATAATCACATCGGTTTCTTCAACTTTTTTAGCTACTTCACCAGCTTCTTGTTTAAGTGTCTCCAAATGTGTAATAATTTTGTCATCATCTAATAAATTACCCTTTAAAAAAAAACAAAAAAAAACACATTGTGTAAAGTGATATGAATAGATAGAATAACATTTCTTCAGACAAAACTATTTAATTTTACACTTGGAAAGTTGCATTACGGGTTGTGAAGATTGTTAAGTTACACATTTGAAATCATTACAAGACCGAAAGTCCCGGGTTCGAATCCTGTGAGGTGCAGGAGTCGTGGATGCTCACTACTGATGAGTGCCATACCAAGGACGAAACCGCCGTCCAGTGCTCCCAAGTGTCTAATGGTGGTCTAACAATGATTGGTTGATGATTTCAAATGTGTAAATTTGAAAGTTGTTTATTTTAGGTTTTGACTTAAGCACTTTTTTTACTAGATTCTACTTAAAAACAAATTTTATGTTAGAATTTTTTAATAATCATCATTTATGTATTTGATCAATGTGTAAAAGAATAAAAACGAAAATAAGTAAAAACAGAAAACATTATAAACATAGCCAATCACCAAATATTGATTCATATACTCAGTTTCCAATCTTGTTGTCGATAATAGGTACATAGGCAAATAGAATAAAACAAAAGAGAAACTTATTGTTTAACTGGATTAATTGAATTGTTTAAAACCTTCCTAAAACACAACTACATTCTTTGGTGCAGCTAAAAAACAAATACTCAAAACCCTAATGGACAACAGGCTTAAACATTTATTTCTTAAACTCGGATATATATATATATATATATACAACAAATTTCAAGAGCTGTTTAAAGTAATGACAAAAACTGATGCATTACAATATGAAATGCGTAAATCTGTTACATAAATATGATGAGTGAAAAAAAGTATAATATAAAGGTGTTTTAGCAACTATGAATACGCTCTCCAGATTAGTTCAAGTAATCAAAATTACTTACCTGAAGATAATAAAATATTTGATGTTGCTTAATCGGTAGTATTCATAGATATTAAAAAACAAAAAATAACATCATGAAAATTACCTTAGCTTCATTCAACGATTGTAATAGATCTTTTTCAAGATGACGTAATTTAAGTTGGAATTCTCCTTGCATTTTTAATAAGTCTGATCTTTTTGCATCTACATCTGGGCGCTCAGCTTTAAGCGCTGCATTAAGACACTGACTTTGTAAACTTCCACGTGTGACAGTGAAATTTACGAAGGTTACACGAGAGCAAACATCAGCAGGGAAATCGACCTGTATCAAGTAAAAAAAAATCGAATTGAATTATAAAACAATGAGAAGTAAAGGAGAAAAAGCTAGCATCCATTATAACAGTATTACAACAAGTTTAAACAAAAATTAAATCACTTTTGTTAATAACTTACATAGGGGTCTCGTGTAGACAAGAAAATACGGAACGTTGGTGACAGATCTATGTCTTGATCTCCAATAGTAATCAGGGTCCGGCCACCTGTTCTACGAACTTCTCGATTGAGCACCGGATTTAAAATAGAGTCGTACGATTCCACATCTTGAACGAGAAGAGGTGTACCGAATCTTAACGCTGATTCCAAAGTTTTACGGAAAGCATCATCAAGGAAGGATGTTTTCATAATCTTTTTAGATTTATATTCATTTAACAAAAACTCAGTCGCCTGACCACTGGGATCAATTATTAGTGGATATCTATTGAACCGTCGTAGTACTATAGCATTCTCAACGCATAATTCGTCATCAGGGAGAGCATTGGCTTGCCATCTAAGTCGTTCATCTGGATTTGATAGGTACTGAAAAACAACAACAAGAATTCAAAGATACAAATGATGAATTTACTTGATTTTAAAAATATTAAATACTTATACCGAATATACTTGAAAAGTTTATCTGTCCAGTTTATGAAACTAACCTCTACTAAAGCCAGATCATTACGGAAATGTATACCCACAGACTGTAAATGTTGACACCATGTGGCAAACAAGCGTGAACGGAAGTGTTGATCGAAATAACCAGCATAAGCCATAAATGCTGCAGAAAGTAAACAATCACCAAATATGGTGGACATTTGAGATTTGAAGGTTTCAGAACTACTTTCCCAACGAGCTCGTTCATTACTCAATGATTTAATCAATGCAACGGAACGTGCAACCTAAAATGACGAAAGAGATGCGTGATTAAAAAGCATCGACAAGAAAATAATCAGGGAAAAATGACAGAAAAATAAATGTATTCATCATAAGAGATGCAACTGGATAACCTTTATTATCATCGAAGATCAGTAGAACTAAATGATGTATTTTTACAATACTTAAACGTTCCTGAGAACAGTTATGGATGATCTTATGAATAACTAGGGAATCTTCATATAGAAGGAGAAAAATGCAAAAGATTTGTTCTGTCTTAATACATAGGATTAGATGTCAGATTTATGAAATGTGAACATAGAAAACTTCAAAATAAAACAGAATCATGAATTATTTTGTGCTCTCTGTCCAATATGCAATATGAATGCCAGTGACTGAATATAGAATAAATGAACAATGATTTCATATAATGTGACAATACATATTGATATTAGGTCAATTTTATCTCCAACCAATAATGTAGTATTCTGTTCTTTCTTATTTCGCTAAGATGTATGAAATGAATTTAAGATTCAGAATCCTCTCTTAAACCACTAGTAATTTGAAGTACCCACAGGTACTAAATTCATGCCCTTGTGTTATTCAAAGATTCATCTAAAAAAGGTGTATTTTTATGACTAAGTGACTGGATGAACATGCAAGAACTAAATTTTTGGAAGATTTCTGAAAATGGAAGAAATTGTCTGTGGTTTTGAATATTTCAGAATACAATACTAGGCATACTACTAAAGGAAACAAATGTAAGCACTAAGAGCAGAACCAGATGGTACGTAGATGCGGAAGCCAGAACGCGCGTTTCGTCTTATTTGAGACTCATCGGCTGAATGTATGTACAAACTAGAGTTGTTAAATCCGGAACCTCAACCCAGAACCGTTCGTTTCAAACGCCATAGCGTTATCCACTGATTATCTACCAACTCCAAATAAACACTAACTGGTTGACGAGTCCCAAAGAAAGAATAAACGGACATCCTGAATTCCACTGCTACCCCTCATTCAACTTTGCTCATAATGGCAATATCGAAGAAACCTGTACAGCATGCGTATGTGCCAAACGAAAACTGATCAATTACAGTCCAAACACCAATGGAAAGATTCAAACAATCAATACAAACGAATTAAATTTAAGCATTGCTTTTTAAACAAAAGAAAAATCAATTTGATTTGTCCCGACTTTAATCGCTACAGTTAAACCTAAAAGGTTAGGTCTAGTTTCTTTTTGGAGGGAAAAGTGATACAGTGAGACTCCGGCCCAATGACAACTGAACACAATTGGCCAAGATTTGATCTCCTTTTATCGGGAATGAAACACACCATTATTTCGAAAGCACAATTTTACGTTTTTTAAGGTATATATATATATATATATATATATATATATATATATAGAGAGAGAGAGAGAGAGAGTGATACATTTTTACAAATATATACCTTTGCTTCTACAGTAGCTAAATCTGATTTAATAGCTTGAGCTTGACTAATTAGGACTGCGTATTCTTCTTTGTACTTAGCAATGCTTTTTTCTAAGGCTGCAATTGTGACTTCGTTATTTTTCGCCTCTTCTTTATTTGTAGTTGCAGCAGCTTCTAATGTTTTCAACTCATTTCGAAGTGGTTCAACTTTCTTCAGTATATCTGCATAGTTTATCTTGAAAGGGGAGAAATAAAGAAGTAATAAGCCATTTCAAAACAGCCTATAGGTAACATGTTTATCATATGGTTTATTTAAAAAATGATGTACTTCGGTGACGATCTAGATAATATGTGTGCTACAGTGATGCTAAGAACGATGAAACCACTGTTTATATTGAATTTATGTCCAGTACCAATGAGTGGCTTCTTAAATATGCCAGGTTGGGCAACTAGATGAACATCATTCACAAATGATGGGATCTTATGATTCACTATGAACCAAATTTCATATCACCTGAAATCGTGGAGGTGAACAGAGACCTTCGTGGTTGACTACATTGTCCAAGATGGCGAGTTGTTAAACAAAATCTCTGCCAACTTGAGCCGCAAATATGAGACCGAATACTTATATACACCAATAATTATCATTTATTTTGCTTTTTTGACCAATGTTCTCCTTACTTATCTAATAGCTCGTCAGTTAATCAATTTTCCTTTTATATATATGCATTCTCAACAAGAAAATTAAGCTGAAGCCAAGTACTTTTACGTAACTACTTATTGTCATGCCTAATTCCGTATAACAAGAAATTTACACATTACCCTATAAACATATAATTCATTTGACATTAAGAATTAAAATAACTTAAAAGGAGACACTAATCTGTCAATCTACCTAAACCAATATCAATTCTGAAACAACAAAGTTCTACTTAAATGATGAACCTAACGGCAAACACCACTATCCCCTAAACATACAAAGTCTTCGCACGTTATAAGTAGCTCCTGAACTAATTAAAAATCTGAGATATCTTCCGATTTAGTTGGCTATAGCCTACGATAATCATTATAATGCAAACGACCGATTATTCTAATATAAACAAAACATATTGTGAACTCGATATGGTAACAACTGAAACACATGCACACGTGTGTGAGCTTCGGTAATAATCCCATAAGATTTCACTAAAACGATGAGTAAGAACTTTATCATCTGTGTGTCTACATAACCATTTGTGTCCTCTTGTCCATTATCGCTACATTTAGTTTGCATATTTTTCTGTGACTCAAGGTCATGATGTCTATCCATCATTTATACAATTGTTCCGTGTCAATTGATCTTTATTTAAATACCGATTTTTATTTCACAGCGCTGCAACATATAAATTACTAACCTGAGCTATAGCCCATTTCACCATTGGTCCACAAGCGCTACTGGCTCTGTTAACTTTTTCAAAGTTATAATCAGGATTGCTGATATACTTCTTTTTCATTGTTTCTCTGATGCTATCACTAAAAAACATACAAGTATGTACATGAAAAATAACTATTGGTTAGTAATGTAATCAATTTGTAAATAAAACTACCTAAACGATATGATCAACCGTAATGTTGACTAAATATACGATAGTAAATTTTTAACATACCGATAAAAAAAAAGAGAAGTAAGCACATTTTTATGTATACTACAAAAGGCAATTTAAAAGTTGAGCAAGAAATATTAAAACAGCTAACATTTTAAAACACACATCAACATAAAAATTGATCAGCATCAATAATAAACAACACAATAAACATTTAGTTAACGTAATTATATCCTGTAGAAGTTATGGCAATAATTAAAATCCACTAGACCAATAACTCATATGACCTTGTTGAGTAATGAAAATTGTTGATATGAAAGAAAGCAATCTGCAAGTAAGAAAACACTAATGAAAATATCAATTGAATTCATAGTAGTAGAAATAGTGTTGGTTTAGATTAGATTCAATACGCAACTGACAAAATGCGTATTGGTTTTACGTTAGTTAGTTAGAGAGAGACTGTGCTTTTTTTTGTAGGAGACATCTAAAAAGGCGGTCAACATTTGAAAACTTACGTTACATCATCAGTATTAAAATTGATAATGCTGGGAACGAATGAATCTTTCACAAGAATTTTCAAAATTTGATTCCAATCAGTGGATGCTTCGCCCAGCAATAAGCAAATAGATTCCACTGCCATTTTGACAACGGAAGGAGGATTTTTCATAGCTCTTATCTCTTGAATATCTCTTTTGCGTATTCCCTCGACAGCTGGGACGAATAATAACAAGTAACAAATAACTGAAAGCACATGCAACATTTATAAACATTTAAAAACAAACAATTAACATCAATAGACACAAAACTTGGCAAGCAAATAACAAATAATAAATGTATATATATAATAACGCAACAAGTATAAAATTGCAGATGTTGTGACAGCGACAGAAACGAATCAACACGGCAAGAAGCTTCATTACTCACGTAATATCCTCAGCGTTAAAATTCACAATAGATGAAATAAAATTGTCACGAATTAAGTAAGAACGTAATTCCTTCCAGTCCAAATCAGTTTCACCCAACATTGTACAAATGGACTCAATCGCTAATTTGACTGGCTGGGGTGGATTACCCAGTGCACGAACCTCAACCAACTGTGAACGTTTTATTGCATTGACGGCTAGGATGAGAAATATTAGTCATTTCTGTAATAATGAACTACGTTTTTTTATTACGTTGGAACATGAAAATTAACTCATGTGCTAGGTGAAAATAATCTATCTAAATCTTGAAACATTCATCTGCAATATATTTTAAACTTCTACTATGTAGATCCGTTTATTTCTTCGATTCCTTTCCAATTATCAATAGAAATATTCTATCTATAAAGCTCTACGTCTCCTTAGAAAAAAAATTAAGTAACTACATTAATTGATACTTAACGACTAAATTCCATGGGCGTCAATCAACTCGTTACCAAATTTCATAGTAGCAGCAAGAAAACTTCATTTATGTAGAAAGTAACGTGAATATTAAAGAATCTCCGTGATTAAAATCCAACTTAATAATAGGAATCATCGCATATGAATTACTTTTTTTTACTTCAAATTTTAAAAATCAAGAATTTATATTTTCACTAATTATTCGTCAATATATACCTTGTTTAGCTTCTGCAACAGCCGGTTCAACTTGACTAAGTTCATTCATAACTAAAGTACGTTTCTCGTTTATGTATAATTCTTGATTAGCTAATTCTTCTTGTAGTCGTTGACTCATAGTCTTCTTTTTCTCAGCTTCTTGTTGATCTTGAACCATTTGTTTTAATTTATCATTTGCTGCATTATTCATTTGTTCTAATTCTAAACTTTTTTGTGTTAATGATTTTTGCATAACTTCAACCTGAAAGATAGATAAACACACAAGTGAACTGAAAACAAATAAGAAAGGGTTTAATTAATTAATTTACAAAGTTGGAAAAATTATTTAACGGGTGGTAAGTGAATCCAAATTAAAAAAAAAACACAATAGAGAATTAATAAAATAAAAACAACATTCTAACCTGTTCAACAGTTTCTTTGATTTTTTGCAATCCAATATGTAAATGTAGCTGTTGTTCTTCCAAATCTGATCGTTTTTCATGCATTAGACTAACAAAATGTGCAATAAAATCAAGGAAATGTCTTGGTGTAATCCACATAGTACGAGCACCTCGTTTTTGTAGACGAAGATTAGCTTCATGCAATGTTTGATGGACAAAAACAAAAGCATTTGAAACCATTTCACGAAATGAAGGAGATTCAGGAAGTAGTCCTTCAACAACAGATGGTATGATATCAGGAACTTTATATTCCGGACGTTCCATATCCATTTTAATAGTGAATTCTTTGCCAACCTGAAAAATAAAGAATATGTTCTCAATTCATGCCTTATTAGAAAAAACAGCACAGTAGTATGTAATGAAAACTGTCAATAATCAATGTCAAAAAGTAGTACCTTTTCCTACAAAGATTCAACATAACTTCCAGACATTGCTAAACAAATGAGTAAGCATGTTGAATGTAAAAACAATGACAATACAAAAACATACCTGATAATAAGCTTCTAAAGACCAATCACCGAACCAATTGAGAACACAACGATTAAACAGAGCAGGAGATGTAGAAGCACGATCTTTGAGACCATCAGCTGATGGATTCATTGTGAAAACAACATGTAAATTAGTGCATATTTGAGATGTAAACCATTTATATAGCTCTTCGTGACTGTCAATCATGAGTCCTTCGCGTACAGCTCCTTCTTTACATTGAGTCATTAAAGCAGAGAATTCATCTCCTTCAAAAAGACCAGGAACTTCTCCATTTGCCAAAAGTGTATTAATACGTTCAAGGAAACTGGAGTCCAAAACATTTGATTCATCCATTATAAATGTAATCTTCTCACCTTTACAACCAGCTCGGCGTAGAACATTTCTTAAATCATCATCGAAATCTTCTGCCGTGTATTTATTATGCACTTTAACCTGGAATACGCTTAATCCATTTATCCACGATACGAATCTCGACAGAGTAGTTTTGCCAGCTCCACTAACTCCTATGAGCAATAAATGACCCTGTGGTTGACGAAATACTCTGTCAATACGAAGAACATGATCTAAAACTTGGTTAAACAGTACTAGAGGTACATCTAATTCTTCCTCATAAAATACTTTTAAACGTGCTTTTATATAATCACGCAAAGGTCCTTGCTCTACTGATGAATAATCCTTGGATAACCAGTTGCTAAATAGAATGGGTCTTTGAAGGGCTGTTTGACGGTCTATTGAAGGGAAATATTTCATCGCCACCTCGTCGATGTTCATATCAGTCCACTGGCGTTCAGATTCTTCAATCAAACGATCTTGAAACAGTCGCAATGCTTCGTGAGCCCATATTCGTACCAAACCTTCTAATGGGAGACTGTCTAAGGGTTTTAAAGCTTCATGTATACCTCTAACCCACCGTGATAATTCACGAGGACTGTAAACATAGTGTGGCTGCATATCTTGTGTGAAGCGTTTTTGAGACATTAAGAAAAATTCAACCATAGCATTAGTTAGCGCATCCGCTTGTGGACGAAGAGAAGGAAGAAGGCGTAACATAGCACGGTTAAATGTCCCATATATTTGTTTTAACGACGTTTCACCAGGATAGTCAACATATACAATAGGAACATGACGTAAGAAACGATGAGAAAGTGGTTTTCTACCGGGATCAGTAGGTGGATTACATGCACCTACAAACTGAATACGTTCAAACTTTACCCACTGCATATCTGTAGTTTGATAAAAACCACCATGTTCAACCATTTGTCGGAGAAAACTAATAACACGTTGAGTGCCATATTTATCTTCATTAGGCAAGTTGATTTCATCACAAAAGAATACTAGCCATTTATTTAACTGAACAGGTGCTAATACTAATCCATTCGGTGTTTTACGATACTCACAATATTGATCAAATGTTTTTAACATCAACTCTGGAGTAGTAGCACTTGAAAAATTAAGGCCCACTACCTCCATATCTGGTAGGCTACGTAATGCACTGTAAGAAGTAAAAATAATGAAAAATAAAGAAATAGAGTACTGAAAACTCTTTCAAGTGAATAAAAGTGATTTATTCACTAACATATTCAATTTACGTATAATTTCTAGTGTAATAAAATACATTGAAAGTAGTCATTTAGAAATAAACTGTACAAATGAATTCAATGAATCATATTATCAAATGAAACAAGTTCAAATGGCTGTTTTTAATTAACGTATGAAACATGAACTAAAACACTGAAGATTTTCACTTATCTCGGTTGGGAAATTTTGAATTACAGGAACAAATCAACTGAGTGAGATACACTATGTAAGGGGACTATTTCTCATCATGATAAATGCACCCACAACACGACTGCTTTTACATCATACATTCAAGTTGCTAGTCAGTTTACGAAATCTATCCTTTAGAAAGAGAGACTTGATAAGTATTTGGGTCATTAAACTACAGTCGCAGTGTCATGCGCTATTGTTACTTTGAATACGGATTTTGAATTAAGTAACCAAGTACTGCACTATTCGATGATAAATTCAGTTTTTTTTTTTAATTATACACGAATATTTATAGTTGGTTCGTATGATCTTAAAGCCTAAATCATTCATCACAAACATTGTTAGTTTTTCTTAGTGAGCTGATAGCACCTCCAATACATTTGAATTTGTTTACATTCTAACATTCGTACAGTAAAAACTTATCTATACCACTGTACTTTTAAGATTATTGAGCTTGTATGTTCATGTATGCTTGGGCATTGCTTACCACCTACGCACATATTCATTCTACAAGCTAGTTGTTTAAATAATTCGATAACAGTATCGACTATTTTAGATTTGTGATAAATTCGATAATTGTACCGACCATCATATTTTGAATAATAAAGTAACTTGTGAAAAAGATTCTAGTTTTATAGTAACGGTCGTCAGGACGAACAATATACAAAGTTTAGGAATACATCGAATATCTATCGCCACAAACTTATCAAATAATCAACATCAGCATTATATAATATACCATAAATATAATGTGACAGAAAATACTATTTTTCACTAGAAAAAATTCAGAGACAAACTTTAAATTAATTGTATTAAAAAAAGCTACCTGAAAAGTGTCATAGTTTTTCCAGATCCTGGTGGACCGCATAAAATCATCGGACGATGCTCTGCTAACCACATGTACAATAAAGCTTCGTGCCTAACAGTATCCAGCGTCGGTACTACAACATCCATCGAGGTTATTTTGTGTGTTTCGATCTCGATAACAGGAACTTTTTGAGCCCAAGGCTGCCATTCACCAGACAATGAAACTTCATAATCAATTACAGGTGTACCGGGTGGAGGCATTGGAACAGTGGTAATTTCACGAATGAATGAGCCAAGTTGTTCACGAACATGCAATTTCCCATCACCACAAAGAGACCAAATTATGCCTGTAATGAGGAATTTTGTTACATAGGATTCAACTTTGTCCAAAGACATCGGAAAATCTGGATGCGCCATATTGTAGGCTAAAATGCTTCGAATACATTGTTTAAGAACAGAGAAGAGACTTGTTAATGACCTTAGAGGCATAAAATCCATTATGTGCTCAAGATCCTTAGCATATTCTAAACATCTCGCAACCAAACCACCTTCAGCAAAGAATGGAGTTAATATTGAAGCAATATCTCGTTGAAGCTGCATTGAAGCACTAACAGCTACATTTGTTGGTGGAGTATCATCGATAAGACTAGGATGTCTGCTAGATGAAGGGCTAGTGGGAACAGGAGGGACAGCTGCAGCACCAAAACCAAGAGCCTCTTCTTCTCCTTCATCGATACGGACGTTTTGTAACTGAAGCAAGAAATGTTGCATAACCAGCTCAGGAGAGACGACATCATCACTAAACCAAACCATTCCACAACGTGAAACAGTAGCCAGTGTGGCATAGCGTAAATCTTGCACTTCAAACATTATACGAACATTCGGTGGAATGCTAAGACGTTCACCATTAGGTAGTGTCAAAAGCTTATTGTCATCTAGAACTGAATTGAGATTTTCAACCCATTCTGGATCAACATCACCGTCAAAAATAATCCACTGTCTTTTGAAAGATTCGCCACGAATACTGTCAATAATTCTAAAAGCGGAAAAAGTTTTAATTACTGCCAGTGAACCGAATAGAAAATAATGATAATATGTATCGGCTTTCAGTCGCATTCTATATCTAAAGACTAATAATACTCTATCCGACTACATCAAACAATCAAACTATTGAAATGTTCTAACTACGAAATCACCACTACAAGTTCAAAACTGGAACCGATTGCCAATTAGTTTGTTATTAATATAACCAAGTAGTTAACTGCTATATGAAGCTCCATAAGCGTAGGTAGAATTTTCATCAGACGTATGGCAGATTATGTTGACTATAAATAGAAAGCATTTGAAACAATATAAAAATGATTAATTGGGTCTTCGATCGGTGATGAAAAGGAATATCAAAATTCTTTTGATTAAGTTATGTTTTTCTTCAACATACTGGTATACAATAAGCTATGACTAGATCATTCAGAGTTTACACTCGATTGTTTAAGCAAATGAAAATCGTAACTAATCTTAATCTAAAATTTTCGTTTACATTTTGTTAAGTAATGTAAGTTGTTTGACAGAAAAAGAGTACGACACTATCATTCAGTCACTTGAATGTCATCGAACTGGCTTCATAAAAACTAGTATAAGGAATGAATCGTTCAGTGATACTGTTGGCAACATAGTCGATGTGCAATGCATCTTCTGAACACCACCATAAAAAAGCCTTCTGATCGCATACACAGATTAAATTATGGTTTTTCGTTATGTACAAATAAGAATGCAACTGAAAGTCAATATCAGCACACAAGATTTTAAATAGAAATACAGTACAATACTGGAAACTGAAAATTCTCTATTTAAGCATTCGGAGTGAGATTTAAACTCAATAAATAGAACCATAGATTGATATCATTATTTAAATACTCCTTCCTTCAACTGTAGATACGGACATATAAAACAGGAAATAGAAAGAATGAAAAATTACCATTACATCTACATCAGAATATCCTACATTGAAGGAGGAAAACTTACTTTCTTAGAATATGAGTAAATAGACCATCTGACCATTCGCGTGTATTGGGATCGAGACAACCATAAAGGGATTCTTTGCTGATTGATTTCGGATCAATGACATGAGCAACTCCTTCCACACCTTCTACACGTTCTAAAGCTTTTAGAAGTACACGCCAAGCTGTAGATTTCCCACTGCCTGATGGTCCTACCATCATAAGCCCATGATGTATACATGTGATCTGATAAAGTTGTAGGACTTTCTGCACCCATAGGCTAGCACCTGAATTAGCTCCAGCTAATGGTGCAACACCATCATTACCGTTCTGACTATCAAGACCGGATTCATCATAAACAAGATACATCTCCTCACAAACACGACGTAATTCACGACGTAATTTCTCCATAGCGGATTGGGAGTAGTGAACTCCAGGAAAAACATCATTAAGAAGGCTATAAAGTAAAGGTATATCTTCAGCGACTAATTTTGGAACCATTGTTTCCATGACCGACTGGATAAGTATTTCTTGTTCAGGCAAAGACTCTGCAATTGATGTTTCATTAACCTAAATGAGCACAGATTAAAAGTATAGTAAGGAAAAAAGACACTAGAAAATTTTTGGAAATGCTAAATTATAATAAAAATGTGAGATGCATTCTATTGCTTTTATCTCAGGTATCTGAATAAAAATAACTAAGTCAATATGTGTAACTGACAGGTGAGAAGTGCTGAACTGGATTATTACTTTGATTATTATTATTATTATTATTATTATTATTATTATTATTATTACGAAAAATTGCTTCCCAGTACTTTTTTTCTGAAATCTGGACAAAATTCGTGTATTCGCTGTTATAAAAACTGACAATTATAATATACACAGAATACAAATCTGAAAATTAATACGAGTTGTCCTTTGAAGTAAAGAAGAATAATTACAACGATATTTTTAACCAAATCAAATAAATGATAAAGTCAAACACGGTTAAAAACTACCATTTAACTAATGCTAGTCAATACATACATACATACATAACAAGCATGCTAGCCGACATCGAATTGACAGAGATGTATGAATGATAAACACTTCCCATTTGTAGCGTAGATATAAAAAAATATCCGACCAAGGAAATAATACTGCATTCGTATCAATCAACCAACCATATGCAAAAAACAGTCCATTCTATAAAACACATAACAACCTACCAATAATACAATATATGTAAATACTAACCGTTTCTCCACGTGTCAATACATCTTCTTTCAATCGTCGAATACGTTCACGTTTCACATGACCGGCTGACACCAGTACTGATTTCAGTGCTCTTAAACCAAAATCATAATGTGATTGTGCAGATAACTGTTCATCACAAAGTTGGAAGAAGGGAACGATTTTACTAGCTAATTTCTCAGCTGTTCGGAAGCCCTGTTAAAAAAAGAATAACACGTGATAAAAACATAAATAAATTGAGTCAGTCAGTCAGTTACAACGTCGAACTTCGGACGTAAGTACATAAGTTCAGGTTACCACACCACATTAGCACAGAGACGCAGTTGTTAGTTCAAATCCCACAGTGGTATAGATAGTAGAAGAACTAATGCTTATGGAGATTAGGATTTGAAGATAATATTCAAAAAGTATAATTGAGTGAGATAAGTTTCAAAGAGAAAGGTAGAGGTGATGACGAATTCAGAAGATTAGAATTTGAGAGAACACAAAGAGTGGATGCACCTGCGCCATTGCAAACGACTTTGAGCCATGTCATTCAAGGTCTCTAAGCATCGGTTACTATCGTCTCGCGGACCCCAACCAGATAGTCTGCATCTACCAACATAACTCAGTCCACTTGTCAGTGACTTCATGGATTTGTGCCATGTTTTGGTCTGGTCGCCCCTAGCTTTCTTCCAACCTACCCTTACTCCACAAGACATCGCTCGTCGAATTTCGCCGGTGGTTGAGCATTCGTGAGACATACCCCGACTACATCAACTGATGAAGTCTCAAGATATATGAGAGATGCTTCGAAGACAACTATGATCGAATATTAGTAGCCTACGAATATCCTCTATTCTTACTGACCATGTTTCACAGAAATAAAATAGGACGGAGAGAACTACTGCGCAGTAGACTACTCCTTTGGTTAGCAAACGGATATCTCGCCTACGCTATGAGTGACGCAAGTTTGCAAAAGGCAATCGAGACTTCTGTATCTGTACCGAGATTTCGTCACACACCAGACCATCAGCACTGATGAGACCTCCAAGATAAGTGAAGTGGTCAACACACTCGATTTCTTCACTTCCTATCACTAGTTCCAGGGCCAACGCAAGCCATTCGTAGGGGGAAACCACATCCAGAAAATGCTTGCACTAATGCGCTGAATTTTGTCAGTGTCTTTCCCGAATAAGACTATGTAATTGGTATATTTTAAGTCAACCAATGAACCTCCTGGTAAACGTTCAACTCCTGAAACGTCAGATGGTGCATGTGACGTTTCTATGAGCACGTCAATAATAAAGTTAAACAAGAACTCAGAAAGTGAACAACTTGAAGTAATCAATTCTGATGACAGTTCGCAATAAGCTCTAACTCGACCAGCAGTTTTCGAGTAGAGAGCTTGTATAAGGTTAAAGTGCTTCTCTGGTACACTTTTTAATGATAGACGCAACCACAGAACTTCACGATCGACAAATTCAAATGCCGCCTCAAGTTCAAGAAATACAACTATAGTGAAACGCCAAAATATGTGTGTCTATGTTCTAGGACCTGACGAAGAGTGAATATATGGTCTATACAGACACGACCAGATCGAAAACCAACCTGATTTTCCTGAGTCTGTTCTTCAAGAGCCTTTGTTAAGCGTCGGAGTATTATTGAGGCCAATATTTTAGATACTATATTAGTCAGACTGATTCCTCCGTGATTGTCACAAGAAGACTTTTATCCTTTCTTATAGACGGACAATTAGTAACTGAGACCAGTTGGACAGAATTATGTCCAGTTCTCAGATTCTACCTAAGATCTCAGTCAATCTAACTGCTAAAACTGAACCACCATCCTTAAAAATTACAAGGGTAAGCCTGTCAATTCCTGCTGCTCTACCCCGAATACAGGTTTCCTATAGCTTTTTCAACTTCATAAAGACTCGGAGGACATATCATTCAGGATGACTGGAGATCGTGGGTAACCGAAGTGTGGCTGAAGGCCAGTTGAACTGATCCCTAAAGTGTTCTGCCCACCGATCAAATCTGGGTTGAGAATGGATTATACAACCATCTTTTTCTGAGATAGTTTCGCTAACAGATGGATTTTTAATACCGTTTTTCTTAATAAGTCCGAACAGTTGTCTACTGTTGCCTATCGCCGTCGACTTTTCCATAGCTTTTGCTTTCGCCACCCATCACGGTTCACAGTCGTTGCGTAGGCTTTTTATCACAGCCTGCTCCTAAGCTGTCTTCGTTCTTCATCACGTTCAGAGCCAGGTGGGATGAGTTTACGAGCGTCTTTCAGTTTGACGGATGCTACTGAGATCCACGGCTTATCCTTAACCTTGTGGTTTACCTTACTAGCAGATATCACTGCTGTTTCCACAGCATTTTCGATGTCCTTCCAAGCTGCCTTGGGGTGAGCATCACTTACTACATGGCTGCCTAACTGCTTTTCTAGTTGTTCCTGAAATATATTCTTAGCCTTGCTACCATTAAGTAGAACCCTTAGAGGCTTCTTTGCGATGTCTTTCCTAAGTCCAGATAAATACGCTCTAAGCGAGTGCTCTAGAATGGCTGACAGCTATGTGATCTAGCTGTCCATCGTCGGGATAACTTTGGGGTCGCCATGTCAAAAAATGTCTTTCCTAATGCTTAGTGTTATATGAACAAAACTGCGACAGACGGTAGCCATTATCTGTTCGATCAGCCGCGAAACAATAAGATCTACCCAGGTGTCGTTCCTTTTCACTTAGTCTACCTACTTGAGCATTAAAGTTACTAGCCACTTATCGGAACGCAAGAAAAGAATACGCAACGGCAAAATGATTAACAGGTTCACAGTTGTAGGTTATATGAGAAATAAACATCTTAACAGTATACATGCTAGTAACTACTAATATTAGTAAATCTATCATTGTTATCAAAGAACAAAGTGTAATCTTTTAAAAGACTAAAACTCAGAAAAGTAATAGTATGTGGTGAACTGGAAATACTACAGCGACAGATGTCTATTTGAAACTTATAAAACTGAACAACAACAAATAAAACTTTAGATATTCTGATATACCTTATAAAAGTTCCCTATACAAAAATGCTGACATTTAACTAACAAATTAAAACTAAGTATTTATTACCTGGGAGTACAGCATTACTTGTGCAATCAACTGTCTATCCGGTTGAGTCATGGCTAGTGAACGGAAGAGTTTCTTCAAATTGTCCGGTAGATTAGAACGTCCAGCGTATCCAGGATTCATAGTGATAAATATAGCCATGTCAGGATGAACACTAACCTATCATATCACATAAGTGAAAAGAATTAATTTACGAATATCTAAGTAAATCAATTTTAAACACAACAAATCAACACCCAACAATCAGTGGTTCATAAATTACCAAAACTTACTTGTTTTCCAAGAAGCTCAACAGTAACTGATTCTTTGGTAGAGTTCTTCTGTGAGCATGCCATATCTCGAAGAGTCTCTTGAATACCTTGCACCTGTTGTGAAACAGCTGAAAGCATACGCTCTTCTAAACGATTGAATTCATCAAAACATCCCCAAGCTCCAACTTGACATAATCCAACAAAAATTCGACCCATAGCCTACAGAAATAGTGAACAAATCTTATTAATGTTAGATTATCATGAAGTTGGAACATTCCGATAAAAAACAATGACAAAATGAACGTTGGAAACTTACATGAAAATCAAATGTTTCATCGCAATTAAAAACAAGAACAAATCGACCCAACTGAGTTCCTAAAGCCTTTACTGATTCAGTTTTTCCTGTTCCTGCCGGACCGAATGGTGATCCTCCAAGTCGAGCTTCAAGAGCTTGTGTCATAGTTAAATAACAACGATCAGTAAGTGGAGTTTGGACAAGACGATCATGCAAACCCAGATATTCGAAACCGTACTGGAATTTTGCATTAGCCATTTGAATTGAAACTTGTCGTAAAGGATCAGATTGTTTTGGATCAAAGTAGAAGCGCATTTGACTCAGCCAATCAAAAGATCGAGGTGAATTAACATCGCTTCTTATCAGATTACGAATAACATCTCGTTGATGAACATGTTCAATGATAAGATGTTCCAGCTTTTGTCGACGAACGGGTGGTTGCTCATACAAAACACAATCGGCAAGTACAGTTAACATCCCTTCAACAGATATTAAACACTTCTGAAGAGGGTTATCTTGAGATGAAGCACTCTGACCTTTCATAGCATTTAAAGAGTTATCAACAGCCTCTGACCAGATCACTTGAGCAGCCAAAACAACTAATTGTGCTTGGTATTTGTCTAACCATGCCAGAAAACCAGATTTTTCTATATCTTGTGCAGTCTTCAATTTCTGAAACAATAAAATCATCGATATAATAACTAATAATCTTCAAAATAACATATACTTAACATATCCTAATGATCATTGAAAAAGTTCATAAGTAGCTGCTGTACTGACTACAACATACACAAGCAAATATAAGCATGAGCAGAATACACAATCAGAAGTACTTTACATTGAACAAGTAGTAGTAACCATAATAAATTTGCGAAACTAACAAAAAAACGACAATGCAAGATCAAAAGAGAACAAACTATAACATTTAAAATGATGCATGGAAAAGGGAATCAATCGAATGAACAAACAGAGAAAGGAACAAACAACACAACAAAGTTTAAACAGTCCTGGATACATAACTTACATGACTATTGGGTCCATAAAGAAAACCAGATGTCTGTGCATACATATATACATACACACATACACAAATATAATGAAATTGATACAAAGATGTAAAACGCATTAAATATATACTATACGATGGCAAATGTAGATTTAAAAGACAAGAAATCTTCACACAAAATGGCGAATGATCATCTTCTGTCTTGATATTAGTTATCCAAAATGAGTATAACATCATATTATGATATCGACAAATAATTGATAAGTTAATTTTGCTAGGAAACAATTTTGTTAGTTATGATTAAATGAATAAACGAAATATAAATTTAGGATGCAGTCGACCTATAAAATTTCATGATTATCTGTTGAACTTGCAAATGAAACGATACTTGTGTGTTGCCTCAATAAACATCATATACTGGATTGATTACGACCAGACTTATGAAGTCAAGAGCTCAATTAACTTTTATACAACAAAATGCGAAACCATATTAATATTTGTAAAAATAAAGATTAAATTTGTAGAGTACATGCTCTAGAAATAGATTCAATTATCTACAACGACTTATATGTCAAAAGCCTTCTTTCTTCTGAACGCTTAAATCAGGACAGGGAACCTTACGTATAAATTGAACTGTACAAGAACAGGTAACTAAATAAGAGCATTGAAATCATCATTGAAAAGATGGCACTGTTCATTATTAAGCGAGCAATTAGTCTACTAATGAGAATTTAGTTTAAACATATTTAAACTCAAAAGTTAATCAATCATCACACAAAAAACATTAACATTCAGGTAACACTACTGTGTTTATATTTGATCTTTACCGACAGTAAATACAGATATATCCAATGGTTCGTTCCAAATTATTTATAACAATAGGACTAATTCTACTAAAAACTATTCTTAAGCCGACCAGGAACGTTGCACGTGCCTATGATTCTCACTTATACAGTTAGTGTTAAGTAACTAATAACGCCTAAAAGTGACCTAGGAGTCACTTGATTACAGAAGATCCCAAAAACTTTTGAAACAAACAACAAAATTAGTGATTCGGTTGCTGGCAACAATTATTTAGAAAATCAGCTGTCAAAATTTACTAGAAGGTTCCAAAGGTAGTAAGTGATCTAAAGTATTAGAAGCACTTTTCTATTCTCCTTTAGGGTTGAACAACGCATTAAAAATTAACGAACCGCAAGTGATTTAGGTATCAGATGTAAAGCAACGAAAAGTCTAATGAATTTACAGCTTAGAAAAAAAAATTCGAAACTACAAATCAGAAAGTAACCACCATTTTCCATCGAATAAGAAAACTGAATATTAATTCATTAAATACGTACTTGTAATTCCTGTATAGCATGACCTAGATATGTCGCCAAAGAAAATCGCATCTCACGCTCAAGCATTGTGAGCCAATCATTAATTATTGGATTGTCTTTAATGGAAATGGGCTTGACCAAAGTTACTTCTTCTCCCTCCTTTGAGCATAAACCTAGAATTTCGGTATTGTCTTCATTTAATTTGATAGAATTAACACCGGCAAACATTTTTTTGAAATGCTTTTGTAATCGTGGCACATTTTTACTGTTACCGATAATCTCCAATAAATCTTCATCACCCACGAAGTAAAATCTAAAGTTTATTCAATGCAAAAGTGAACAAAAAGTTATCTGAATGGTTTAATAAACATTTATCCAACTTAACAAATTAGATTGACAATTTAGTGTGATGTTTTAACGATTCTCAACACATATGGAATCTAATCAAAGTGGTAAAGCAAAGGTTAGCGACCGATTATTTCAGCCACTAAACAACAAAAATTGATATTAATCACAAATTGATTATATCAGATAACACGTAAAATAAGTCAGTAAAAACAATGATAATATATATTACATTGGCTACTACTAACAAGAAAAAGTGACAAACCATACCGTGGAAAAGAGGATCTTTGTCGTTCCAGATATTCTCCGAGAGATCGTTGTATCTTTGACAAAAGATCTGCCAATCGTTCCAGTTGACGCTGAACATTCGAAGTGTTCAATACATCCATAACTAAAGACGACTTTGAAACCTTCTTCATTAAACCAAGGAATTCTGTGCTCACACTCTGAAATCGTTGTGATTCTTGTGGCAACAAAACTTTTATATCGGCAGAACCGGCGAAAATACCATCAAGATATACCCAACGACGTTGAACATCTATCCAAACATCAAACAGAGCGTTAATCCTGTTTAAACGATCTTCCCATGCCAGTGCTTCCTCTTCAAATTGCTAAATGTGTGAAGCAAAGACATTTTCAGTAATAAAAACAATTAAAATATTTTGATTCACAGATATGAATATAAGAGCAATAAATGGAATGCAAAAGGGGGATTAATATCCTATGAGTATTCTAATCCTTACTCATCATATGTGAGTAATGTGTTAGCATTGAACACTACAGTTTATTTCTATGTAACGCAATGCCCAAACCTCCGATTAAGTTAAATATACACATATATGATTAGTAATAATCGATAATACTTACTTAAAACCAAACTTACTTTAAAATAAGGAGATAACTTCATAGCATTCAAACTGTTTATATGTTCTTTGACGCGGTTAAACAAATCATCCCAACCACGAATTAGTCGACATTTATCTTGATAAGGAATAAGTTCAAGTGTGTAGTTCTTCCAAACTTCAGTGACCTAATATGAAAATAGTATTAACAAAATTTAAAACACAAGGCTACTTGTTTTAGGAATTCTTCTAGGGCCTTTTCACCCTGAGCAACCAATAAGATTTCTTTAATCACTGCTTCGTTTTGTTGAAGATCTAATTCCCACATATGGCCAAGTGTTAATTCAGACATAGTCCAATTGACATTAAGCTTTTTCATCAAAGACTTCCAATGACGATCTTTTAGCGCTTCCGACTTCAATTCCACTATCATAACATTGGATTTGGCATAATTTTGAAGAGTACGTTTGACATGTTCATAGGATGAATATTGTCTAAGTCTAGCTGGAAGTTCCTTCAGTTGTCCCGCCAGTGTGTCTAACTGTTGTCTTAGCTTGCGTGGTTGGACAGTTTGCCAAGGAGTCTCTTTCATTAACTCGATTTGTTCCCAAACACGAGATAGTTCAAGCCAAACATTTTTCAGATCCTAAAATAACAATTAAGGTCAAGTATTACTTTCGTAGTACCATTAGATATACACAAATAAGTGAATATCTTAATACATAAAATCTTACTAATGCAACTATTATGATATGAAAGCTAAAAATTCACCAGATAGTTTTACGCAACTACCCAGTGAACGAACCTACATTATTCAGAAGACCTTAAATCAAATATTAACCGCCAAATACTTAAATTGTACATCATCAATGCCTTTGAATAGTTTTACAAAAAGTTGAACATATTTGATGAAACGAAAAAACCTGGTGCATGCTAGTCAAATTATGAAGGAAATTCCACTGCAGTACTCAACATAAATAACAAATAGATAATTGCTGCTGTCTTACAAACTGATGGGTTTATTGACCGCGGTAGATTGCAGTACAATTGAAGAAATGTGATAAAAAAGGGTATACAATTTGTTTATATTCATGCTGCGATTTATTTTATTTAATTTAAAAACGTGAACATTGGTACCAAGGGGAACCAAAATCTAAAAGCGCCACACAAATCACGGAGTTAGTGGATGGGATGAAATACAATCCAGGTGCCCAAACCAACAGGTAGTTTCCTCGGGGGGCTACTTATGGAGACATTTTTCAAGAGGTCTAACACAAGACTGTGGAGCAACGTCAGGAGATTCGGCTCCATGACAGTTACATTAGTAGCTCTTACACAAATAATGTAACTCAGACTCAGGTAGATGCTGTACTTGATATACAAGTTAGACAATAAATAATATTTTTTACGTGACCTGTTTAAGCTTGTTTGAAGTTAAAATAATCTTCAAGTGTATTTGTTCAAATTTTAGGTAGAACACATATACAAGTATGAAGAATAGATATAGGACTTTTCATTTGAAAAATATATTATAATATAAAATACACCCAGAATTCTACCTGAAGTTCTTCAAAAGCCACTTGTACACGCTGTTCTGTTGGTGACAGTAAACCGGATTCAGTCAATTCTAAAGCTTCTTTAGCACGTTGAATATTATCACGTTCTTCACGCAGACGATTAAACTTCCCTTCTAATATGGTTAGTTGACTGACAGCCTCTTCTGGTTTTAGATTGCCAGCAATCGGTTTCTCTTTTTCCCAAGATGATAACAATTCAGAAGTTTTACCCTCAACAATCTTATCCTCAGCTACAACTTTCATTTGAAGACTAGCCACCTGAAATAAAGAAAGACATTAAAGAGGTAATATCTCATTCCAAAACGTGTATCAGCAAAAAAAAATAAGAGGTTTGTTGCAATTAACTTACTTGAGTACCAATACTATTTTCTTTCCGTCGTAAAATCTCTTGGAATGCACTCCATTCACCTAGAATATTCTCCGAATCCAACCAATTTGAAGGAAACTGAAAACGATCGCGATATAAAATATTTTGACCAGAACGATAAAGTTCCACTTGTTTCTCCCAAACTTTCATTTTTCTTTTGACAGTCTGTGTATAAGTAATAGCATTGACCGCTTCACCTGTACTTCCAGCTTCTATGGCCTGTTGTTCTAGATCGAAACGAGCCTAAAGAAAAATATAACTGGTATATAAATTCATCTCTCCATTTCATTGCGTAAATAATTGAAATTTTTCGCAAAATAAATTAGTTTGATGAGCTTTTATTAAGCAGAGAATTCAGGAGTTAATATATGGAAGCTAAAGTACTAACCTTGGACACTTGTGAGAACAGGTCTTGCATTTCAGAACCTAAATGACTTCCAAACTTGCTCAAAATATCTTTATGCCAATTGTCATATTTCAGTGAAACTTTAGACTGAACTTTACCAAACATAATAATGATTGGACCAAATTCTTTTTGAGTTTCTGCAACATCAAAATGTTGACGCATACTTTTGATTTCATCCAAAAGGCTCATCCAGACCTATTTAAATTTTTAAAAGTAAAGTATTTTTGTCAAATGAACTGGAAAAAAAACTTGGTAATTAAACTGGTGATTTAACTGTTTTTTTTTTCAAAATAATAAATGATAATTTAAATAAAACCCGAAGTGACAAATAAGAAATTCAGTGTCAGTAAACACCGGGAAGTAAACGAAAGAGAAACTATTCTGGATTTCTATGGAAGTTTGGATCAGCGGTGTCAACAGTTGAATTCTAAACTACTGAATGACAGATAGAAAACTTAATTTTAAGAACTTCAGTCTGAAAAAAAGGATAACATTATTAAGAATCACACAATAATTGCGTTTTACGTTTTAAAGATCAAGTACACTTTTTTACATGATTGCTAACTTAACGAACTTCGCCACAGAAATTCGTAAATTCCAACACAATTCAGCGAAACGATAGAAGTAAATCATGAAATTAAGTTGCGATATGATCACTGGTCTAAGTGACTCCACATCGTAACTGATTAGTTTGTTTGACCCTGAGAGTTAATTCAATAGAATAAAATGCGTTGAGAAGTTCAAGACCAAAAGGAAATAACCACTTAACATTCAATGACTTTTAAACTTTTTCAGATGAGTTAGCTCTTATCATTATGAAAAGCACGTTCAAAACTGGAACTAATACTCCACGATAAGGTAAATTTAAAATTCACTGTTAAATCAAGTTATTCAGTGAATAGGATCCCAAGGTATTGATATTTAATATTAGACCATATTCCTGAGTAGTAGGGTAGTTCAATTTTCGTCTAAAATACTAGTTAGTATTAAGATTTAAAAGTATTACTTCAGTTTAGATTTGTTAACTAATTTATAGGCATCAACTCTATGAAAAATATTAGTTTTCAGAAAACATAGAATAAAGAAAAATCATATAATGCAAATAAAAATAAGAAAATTTCAAAATAAAACAAACCAAGACCGCATATTTATTGCAGGTAAACAGGAAAGATGCTTACCTGAGTATCAGAACCAAGACGACCGTAAACCTGATCACTTTGTAGATCCCAAAGTGCCTGATAACTTGTCCATGTCTTGACATATTCTTTTGCATCACCGGTGACCTGAACAACCGCTTCATGAGCTTTTGCCAAGATTTCTCCTCCATTCTCTAGTTTATAGATTAGTTTTTTATAGTTTTTTTGAGTGTCGGTTTCTGAATCAATTCCAACCTATGTCACCAATTAATAACAATATTTATTTTTTAGATACGACACTTTATTTATCTTACGTTTAAAGAAATTACCTATTGCCAGGTGATTCGCGTGTTGACTTAGAATATGCCAATGACATAGTCCTATTCGGGAAAGACACTGACAAAATTCAGAGTCTTCTGACTACCTAAGCAACAATGCAAGCATGTTTGGGGTGCGGTTTTCCTCGCTCCAAATGCAAAATAATGCTTCAAGATTGGCTTGCGTCGGCACCAAAACTAGTGACAGGAAGTGAAGAAATTGAATGTGTTGACTACTTCACTTCTCTTACGGGTCTCATTAGTGCTTGGTGTGTGACGAAATTTCGGTACAGATACAGAAAGCTCGACTGTCTTTTGCAAACTTGCGTCACTCATAGCGTAGGCGAGATATCCGTTTGCTAACCAAAGGAGTAGTCTACTGCGCAACAGTTCGCTCCGTCTTACTTTATGGCTGTGAAACATGGCCAGTCAGAGTAAAGGATACTCGTAGGTTATTAGTATTCGATCACAGTTGTCTTCGAAGCATTGCTCGTATATCATGGGACAACCGAGTAAGCAATGCTTGCTGTTACTAAACGGGTACTAAGTAAGGATGGTAGATCAACTGATGAAGCATTGAAATTTCATCAGTTGAGGTGGTCGGGACATGTGTTACGAACGCCCAACCACCGGCGGAATTCGACGAGCGATGTCTTGTGGAATAGGGGTAGGTTGGAAGAAAGCTAGGGGCGGCCAGACCAAAACATGGCACAAATCCGATAAGTGGACTGAACCGTGTTGCCCCATTTTTACGCTTTTTTTTAATGCATGAATTGTCCTGATACATTATACTACTCCGAATTATCGTTGATAAATTATTCACCACTTTTGCTCTATTCTCTATTGTTTTTTGGCCTGATTCTGCATAAACTAGAGTTATGGTCTGATAACTCGTGTCACTGAAAAATATGAAAAGAGTTGCTTGATTGTTGTGTTTCTCACTTCGGAGTGAATAGAGAGACACAGTGAAAGGTTTTGCTCTGGACTAATAGGCGGCAAGAATCATCTTAGTCACTAGTTAAGGGCTAACGTCGTTTGGTTCATGGGTGAAAAGCATATTTGAATTGATGAATTAAAAACAACCGGATTTGTACTGGTGAAATCGTTCCTTGTGATTCGACTAAGGAACATCAGAGAAGAGTCATTAAGATATAACTATATTTCCTCCAAACGGTCTGCATTTCATATCTCCGGAATCCTGAAACAATTATATAAATCATATCCAACATCGGTCACACTACTTTGATAAATCCTCTCGGGACTTACAAATAAAAGTGGGGATGTTTAATGAATTTTAGTTATTTTCTCTAAACTAAGAGCTGTTTTTTTGTAAGTTTTTGAGTGATTTTATTTATCTTCAAACTACAACGAACTTAAACTGACCAGGTTAAGCTGAAAGTAATTACAAAAAATTTTGGAGTTTATAGGCAACTAATGAATATACATATTACTAATAAAACATCTTCACATAAATTGCAAACCTTTTTGAGAAGTATGAGATAATAAATACTAAATTTTGAAAAAAAAGAAATAAATAAAATATGTACTACCTGGTACCGTGAATGCTGAATTCGTGGTAGACTCAAAACTATGCTTTCCCAAGAGCTTAGATTAACTATAAGTTCATGTTGAGCTACTTCAATGCTAGGATGTAAGTGAATCTGTTGGTTGGTGATTCGAAGTTCATGAACTAGAGCTTTTATTTGTGGTTCACCACCTAAACGACTTTTTGACTGTGGTGTTGTATGAGTATCATCTAAATCATTTGCCTGAAAATAAAAACAAATAGACAGTAGGTCATTTTGACAAAAAAAATCACATCAAATACAATATTGGAAAGTAGTCTTACTTAAGTATGAAACCAAAAGTGCCCATCCTGACTGAAAAGATGAATGGGTTGACATACCTGTCTGATGGACTCGAGATATTTATTTCGAAATCCAACGAAAGTTCCAGTAAAATATCAGAAACTATGTGCATGCAAAGGTGTGCAAATCTTTCATACGACATTTATCTCTAAGATAATTGGCTTCAGAAATGAATTACACCAAGCTGGAACTTGATGAATACAGTGTGATATTTAGTTGTAACATTATATTCAAATTTAAACCTATTCGCATCCTAATAAATGTTTCGATGCAACCATAAAACATGCTCACAGTAAATTTGAGACATCTTCATTTCTACAGAAGATACTTTTCCATAGTCATTACATATTACTACAGAAGTACTGCCAGAACACTTTACAAATCAAATGCAAGTAATATAAAAGTATGCTTACATCATACTGGTCTTTCTGACCCAATAATACACGTGTCCATTCAAAAATACCGGCCTCAAGGCGTGCAACTAGACGATGCTCAACTTCTTCATCTAAACGAGCAACCCATTGAGGAAGATTTGAATATTGATGCAGATTTAATTCGTCCACCGATTTCTGGATTTTAGCTATTAACAAAAAAATATTATTTTTGGTAAGATCTTCTAAAACAACTGAATATGTAATCTCGCAAAAATAATTTTATGCTGAACTAAGTATTGTTTACAAAATGGCGATCCCTTTTGAGAAAAGGCTTCGCTTAGACTGCACAATGTACATTTAAGCTAGATATCAAGAAGATCCTGAGAATTACAACTTTAAATTACAATGAATGAAATAGAATAAAAATGCTGATAATAAATTTGTAGGTAAAATCTGAAATAAATTAATGTTAGGTTTGTTAGGTTTTAAAAACTAAGCAGGGCAGATTCATCTTTTTTTGAGATTTATTCTGTATATTAAGTTTTACCTAATGATTAGTACTCATTTATTCATAGACGGTTGACTTAGTAGGCTGAAAAAAGTTAGAACTCGGTAGATCAGAATATAGCATAAGTACTTGGAGTCATTCATCGCTTGTCTGAGCCACGTCGATAGGTTCACGTATATTTTCAATTTCACTTTCTTATACTTTCTAACCTTTTTAGAAAAGCAGCAATTCCAGATGAATTAAATTCGCTGTGTTCATAGTTAGATGTATATTAGTTGACTAATAACATCAAATGGAATTCAAATTACGAATAAACGAGCTACATATTGATAATGATGAAATAATGACCAAGTAATAAAAGATACTCAAACTCATAAATAAGAAAATGAACGTAGACAAGCGTTTCTTAAAGTCACAGGGAAATCAGTATGTGCACTTGATAAATCAATCCGTAGATTGTCAAGGATGTATGAATACATGTTAAAATAAATAAAAACCCACAGATACAGAATCCAATTACCTAGAATCTCCTCGAAAACCGACTTTGAAAAAACACAGGTCTCTAGTGCTTTGACTTCCCTATCTATTTCTCGAGTAGTGACCAGTAGATCATCGACTTTCTCCTGAAACTGTAAAACTGTCTCTGCAAAACGTTGAACAAATAAACCCAAACGATACGATTCCCACACTAATGATATACCCTCAGCTATAAGGAGCTGAACTTCACGTCGCATTCCAGCACATAAAAGACCAAGATTCTGCCGCTGATTTTCTTCAATTTTACTGCAGGCACTTTCATAGGTTCGCACACTTTCAATAAGAGATATTGCATACGGATAAAGCTGATTGGTCTGGTGAGCTCTATTAACTATCCCAAGAGGGACACGAAAGCCGAGCCATTTCATATTTCGTACCTACACAAACGGTAATGGAAGTATGCATAAAAGTTATTCGAATTTACTTCTTAGTAATGAACATATACTTATGATTATCAAAACTGCTCGTTTCGTTACGGAAAGTGATATCAGTTGTCAATTTGCACCATCTCAGTCAGTCACTCAGTCAGTTACAACGTAGAACTTCGTATGTAGTACATCAGTTCAAATTGCCATACCACATTAGCACAGAGACGTAATATCAGTTCAAATCCCATAGTGGTAGAGATAGTAATAGTATAAGCGGTAATGGATAAGATTACGGTTCGAAGATATTATCCGAGAAGTATAATTCAGTGAGATAACTTTAGAAAGAGAAAGATAGAGGTGATGAGGAATTCAGAAGGTTAGAATTTCATAGAACACAAAGAATAAATGCACCTGCGCCATTGCAAACGGTTTTGAGCCATGTCACTCAGGGTCTCTAACCATCGATTATTATCATCTCGCGGACCCAAGCATGGGCTGTATCCACATCGAATTAGCTTTGAATGATATCCAGCAACAGAATCAGCAGTAAAATCAACCGAAAAGTTAAGAAACAGTAGTGGGTTCCTTCCTGTAGCGTCTACTGAACTGATAGATGCTTGAAAACTCAAGCTATCAGGCTCGTAACACAAGTGAAGGCAACTTATTCGTAGATTAAAAAAGCCAGGATAATGTTTGTGAGCAATGGTGAGTATCAATAACAAAAGGGGTGTTAAAGATAGTGGCAATAAATAACAGTAGACAATCTAAACGAACTAACGAAATATGTACTAAAAATCTGTTGAAGTGACCCCCTTTCAAGAAAACACGGGCATTTTATCCACTCTTCATCCATGAGATTAGACTGATGGACAGGATATATGAAAGAACAGTTTATTTGGTCTTCAGCCATATTCTAGTGGCCTAGCATCTCGAAGCAACCTGGATGCCAAATTGACATGAGTCACCAAGTTTATAGCGAGGTGCACCATCTCAGACATCAAAAAAGATCCACATTCAGGTTAAATTGGTGATGTATCGATTTTATGATTATTAATTACCAGGTTTTATCAACGGAATAATTTTCATTGAGTATAACATCACAACGAAGTAACTAATACAAGGAAAATTCACTATGGATCAAATACTTAATTAAAACTAGATATACTGAATAGGATTCCCTATGAACAATTAAATACAATGAAATGCGTTGACGTTAATCAAAAATAAATCGACTAAAACTGAAATATGAATTCGGGACTGACTTTTTCATAAATTGCGAACACAACTTAAACACTGTCAATCTCAGATTATATTATTTACATTGAAAAAATAATCCATACTTCCATGGAACAGCTGAGATACATGACTGAAAAAGATTATACTTCTTTACTATACGTAAACTTTCTAAAAACATGTAGTGCTCACTTTCCTGAAGTTGATGTTTAATGAATCTGCGTTTGAATAAGTACTCAAAATGTTAATCAGTGGCCGTGACAATACCACATACGATGATAAAATTCAGTGAACTGTATGTATAAAGTGTAAAATTATATTTCAATAACGAAAATCATGCAGAAAACGATGGATATACAAAATATGTAATATGATCAATATTCATTAGTTTATGTATCATATTGTAACAATAATCAATTTTAACATGATTAAACACTGAAAATCTTGAAAAAATACCAATGAAAAGACTATTCAATATGTGGACTAACCTCCTTAGCTAGTGTTATTACTTCTAACTGAAAATTGACTTTTAACTTCAGGACAGTTATGGTTTGTGTTTCTCCCTCTTTTGTAGCAACTTTGGCCCGTATAGGCTCAATGTTGAAGATACGACCAGAGACAGAAATTTGTTTCTGTTGAACCTTCCGTGACCAATCTTCAAAAAGTTCATGGGTGTTTAGTTTAGCTTTAAAACTGTCTCCATCGGCCTTAAGAAGTTGTCCCTCACGATGATGTTCCCATCCTTTGCCTAAAAATACAAGTAACCCTATTAACATCATGAATCAAATGCAGTTTACACAATAAAATAAATGCAGACATTACAAAACAAAACCCAATGATAAACCAATAAATAGTTAAGAGAAGACAAATTACAGCCTAATTAAAATCATGTTAAACATACCCAAAACATCTTCGACCCTTCTTAAATAGGCATTGAGTTGCCGCTCTATTTGACGAGCCCAAATGATAGACCCAGCAACTGGAGGCAGATCACGAAGTTTTGTCATATGATAAGCCTTGCTAGAAGTGTACTGTATCCTGAATTTGGCATGTAAAGCCTCAATATCATCTTTAACACGTTGTATGAGCTGAGTTTGGTACTCGCGTATAGCACCCCGTATATGTGGACGTACAAATAAAGCATTGAAACGTGAAAAATATCGGAACATCTCATTGGCATTCTTTGCAGTCCCTAGAAGATCTCGAAGCCGTGCAGCTATTCGAGTTTCCACACGATCAATTCGTTCATCGTATCTAAAAGCGCAGAGGATTTAGCGTCAGAAACATCAATAAATTCGTTGAGCATTAATTAAAAAGGTCTCTTTATAACTCACCGTTTGACTGCCGCTTCCCACACTTCGCTGCCCTCTTTAGTAACGTCCAAACAATCGATCTCCTTCACTATTTCATAAGCTAAGTTTACCTCTTCTATTGCATTAGCATCTGATGCATCTAGAAGTGGTTGTTCTTTGCCGACGGCTTTAGGCGGAATCTTGCCAACACTTTCACCTACAACTACTCCATTGATAGTTGATAGATCATTCGATTCAGCTGGTGTATCTTTGGTTTTATCTGCTTGAGCACTACGTGCAGGTCGTAGGACGCGGACTATCACCTGCCTTAACTGTTCATGTTGATGCCGAAACCTTAGATCATATAAAATAAAAACCGTTAATTAGTTAACGTCAATAAAAGCAACTATATTTAAAGAGTGTATTAGCAAATAAACGCAACGACTCAAATATTTAAGATACCAACACCCTTCAGATTCTTGACCAAAACTTTTTCATTTATGATCGTACTTATAATTTTTGGTTTTTATTTTTATTTAATTCATAAAAGTGGTTAGTAAAAATACTACGCACCCCACAAATAAAGAGAAAACACTAAAGAGATAAAGCAGGAAAAAGGAGTACAATCAAACAACGAAAAATGAATGAGAAGTGTACAGTTCGGATGAAAATACAGTCAAGAAAGAGGCGTTTCAATTGAAGGAGCTCCTTTCACTTTTATGCGAAATGTAAGAGAAAACTATGACATGACTACTGTTAGCGTTTATTTTGGGCTATTTATGCCATATTACAAGCCAATTAGTTATATCGTTATTCATAATAAGTCAAAGACAATCAATGTATAGTAAATTAATAATTATTGAAGTATGAGCACCTTAGAAACAATCAGCTTAGGGCACGGTTTGAATGTGTGCCCCAGGTGATGTGTCTATCAACTAACTACATGGCAAGTACACTAAACAATAGACTAATGTGTACTACCTTATAGATGTGAAACAAATACTATAAGAGAAATACAGATGTTGCTAGTTTGATTATAAATGTCTTCACAGCATGTATCGTATATGGTCAAACCACTGAACAGGTGCATGATAAGAAGTAATGATAAACAGGATTATATGCTTATGAAGCCTTAACAATCAAGGTAATCTAAGAATGAATAGCACATTCACCTACTGTTCATCTCGATCCAATATTTTGGACAGATTAGTGGGCTGAAACTATAATAAAGGTGATCAGACCAAAACACACCATTAAATGATGAAATCATTATTTTTCTTTAGTCAGGAAAGAAGGATTAAATTTTTCGGTTAGTTTTAGAAACGCTGTTCAAAATACGGTGATGTATTTAGATCTGAATCTCCAACATTACTATAGGCAATATTGCTTCAAATTATTTGCTCTTCATATTGGTAATCTTTTCCTCATGTACTGATACGAAGTGCAGTAAATTAAATCGATAACGAATAAACAAGGTTCCACGCCCTTTGTGATCGAATTTATAGGTGATTATTTCCGCATTAATAGACCAATAGCAAGGATTCGCGATAATACGATTATATCTTGTACCAAAAAAGTTATATTTATTTCTGGGTGTTGGCAACTTTTCTTCAAAACGGAAAGGGTGAAAACAGATATTGGACGTCTAAATAATAACGATTTACCTAGGAGTCCAAAAATTTTTAGTCCAATATAGTGGTTGGTCTAGAACTCCGCAGTAAAAAGCAGTGCAAAACTGTATTGGTTAACAGCTACTATTAAAAACCATTATTCTTGCGCTACTTCACTATCTTTCCAACTAGACCTTTAAACTAGAAACCACGCAAAATTAACTGCTTTTGTCCATGGAAACTGAGAGTACGTTAGCCATGCAAAGGATAATCTGCCATTTATTTAATGGAAAACGCATTGACAATACCAGGTTGATCAAAGAAAAACAACACGAACACTTACTTTCTCATTTGATCCAGACGCAATTGTAATCGACGGTGGGCTGGGTTACTTCGCCATATCATTCGTAGCTGCTCATCCCGCTTTTTCTTGATGATATCTCGCATTAGACTTTGAAGTCGGTCAAACTCATCATCCCATGTTGAAAAGACTTCAAAACAAGCAGCCATTACTCTTTCAAACTCTTCAAAAGGCATATGCATGAGACGGCGTGTACCCAAAACCTAAGTGTAGTTAAAAATAGTGATGTTATTAATCTAAACTTAAGTCTATATCTATATTTTTACAACTCACAGAGTGTGAGAATGGTGTCACGCCTATGATGCTTTAGAAACCTAGTCAAGGGCTTAGATGCACCAAGCAACCGAACTACCAAACTTTCGAACACAAACATCTAAAATGCAATCAGACAGAATTTACTATCTACTTAAACAGCGCGATCAAGACCATGTTTAAGGCTATACAAAAAACGAGCACAAACACTAAAACTATATTTCCGACCATTCTCACCACTTTTAATGACTGAGTAGACACACACCTTACAGCTTAAGTTTGTTTCAAACCGGGAATAAGTTTGAAAATTTTGAAACTTGTCTAACCCCCGTTTGACGGCAAATAAATTAATGATACCTTGGTCTTTTAGTGAAAAAAGCAAGTAGGTACGGCTAGAACTCTTAATCATCCTTGCTAGATCTAATATAAAAGCATTAGGAGGATAAGGTAAAAAAAACCTCGTTTATATGTTACCCCTAGGTACAAGTGACCGTGGAGTTGTAGTCTATGATTTCTACATGATTGTTAACAACGATGTCAGCTCAAACCAAACCAAACGTCTGGAAACTAAATATACAGGAAATTATACACTCAGTGTCCTCAATAGGTTGTGCAGTGTAACTAGAATCCCCACTGAAATAACTTAGGAGATATTTAGAGATTTGTACATAAAGCTTACTACAGTGTACGTTCCTTGAACTACATTAAGAAACTCAAGAAGCTCCCTACTATAGTTTCGCTGTAAGAGAAAAAGAATGTGAGCGGAATTCAGGTTATAAAAAACGGATGAGACAAAATCACACTTTCAGGAGGCCCAAAATATTTGTATTCGAACCTCCACAGTTTTATAAGATTGTATGAACAAGAGTTTGTTAACGATTTTATAGGACATTATAAACGCTTGCACTTGCACATAAACCAAAAGACCAAGAGAAGAGGCAGCAGCCTAGCATTACAGGGAGACAGTTGTACTCCAACACTAGTGGAAGATTATTATGGCAACGCTCAGGTATTCTTAAACTACTTTAGTGGTATATACAGTGTGGAGATGCCCTTCCCTTTGATTCATGCAAACCCCGATATTCACACTATAGACTAACCATTTAGGAACTAAGTGGTTTTTGACCTGTTAAATAAGCTTGATATGGGTGAATCCACAGGACCCGATGAAATATATCCTAGAATACAAAGGAACTAGAAAATCTCATCGCAAATCCCCTAAATAAATGTCTAAATCCAGTGTAACCCAAGATTGATTACCAAAAGATTGCAAGAATGCCATAATAAGTCCTGTCTTTAAAACAGGTGCGAGATAAAAACCTGGGATCTATTGACCAGTAAGCTTAACTAGCGTGGTTATTAACATTTTATAAAAAATTATTCGTACGGAGCTTCTAAGGTATCTAGGCAGAAACCAAATTCTGAGAAGCAGTACGGGTTTGGGACGGGCTATTTATGTCTCACAAACCTAGTAATAGCCCGTGAGGATTTGACTGTGACCAATCTAGTTTCGCATGCTGTTACGGGTATGACGACGGATGTCACTTCACGGCTGCCCACACCGTGGGTGAGGAACCTGAAAAAGAAGGTAGATCAGCGTTGGTCTTAGAGACCTGGGAGCGTGGCCGCAGAGTCCAAGGGACAACCGCTTGAGGCCGGTAACGTACGGCCGCTTTATGAGTTTTCAAAGTTATCTTTGCTTTTCAAGTAGCCTTACCGCCGGAGACGGAAATTCGTGGGCTAAGGTGAGGTGTGATATTTTTAGGGTAGACCTTTGTTAACCCCTTCCTTCCTTGTGAGAAGTCAGCTGTAGATGTTGGCTGTCTGAGGGAAACACCTTACTGCTGTCACACCCCTCTGAGGTCTGCAGCACGACTTCGCCCTCAGACCTTGGGTTGCTGCTTTCAGTCTTACCGTTCTCCAATCGACTTGCCTGGCATGGTAGAACCTATAGGAACATATGTTCTAGCCAATATAGCTCGGTTGGGTCATCATGATCGATAAACCCAACCACCACGTCAAGGTAGCAGCGACGGTAGGTTTGCAATGGCGCAGGTGAATCCACTCTTTGAAAACCACTGCACATTCCAGTGCAATAGCCACCGAAGGTTCGAGAACCCTGCGGAAATGTAAAAACCGTTTTTATTGACGATGTTCGTTCGTCCCAAACTTCAGTATTGCGTACAGAGTCCCTGAATAAAAAAAGGTGAGCGATTGAAAAAGACTCGAAGGACTACGACCAAGCTGATTCCGGGAATCACAAAGCTGTTATATGATGAAAAACTAGCTAAACTAAACTTATTTTCCTTGTCATATACAAAGACCAGTGGTGACTTTGAGTTTATAAATTACTTGATCATAGATTGCATCTGACGTGCCCTCAATTTTCTTGTATTCGAAACAGAATTTACGAGGATGTTCTAAAAAGGTTTAAATGACGATCGGCTTTCCCATAGAAACACCAGCGGATAAAACTTATCGCCTCAACACGTGACTGAGGCTCCATCTATCGACGCATTCAAAAGGTTTGATCAACTAAGACCATTGCCAAAATTATAACGGGTCACCTAGCTCCCTGGTCCTTCCAAAGCGAAAACTTAAGTGGTTTTCCCGAAACACCAAAAAGGACAACGTGTCTAAAATGGTCTAGTAGCCTGGAAGTGTAATCCCTATATCCAATACAGAAAAATATTTACTTCTGTCTAGGAAGCATCTAAATCAAAATTAATCATTCACAGCTATGTTTATATGAAATGTCAAATAAGATAGAAAAAAAGTAGAAGACACTTCAAAAACGCATGAATGTGACATACCTTCAACAATTGTGAAGTGAGATCTCTGGAAATAGCTTCGATCAAACGTAGAGCTCTTTGTAAAGGGTATTTTGTATTGCGAATCTTGCGTAAATGAGTGAAGATTGACTGTACAGCTAAACGGATTTTGTCTAGCTCAGTAGCTGACAAAAGATCATTTAGAGGGAAATCCTTCATCAAAGGATTGTAGTCATTCACCGTCCCTAAGGCTCTTTGCAATCCTTTAAAGATGAATGAATTATGTGCAGAAAATTACCTGTGTCCGTATCGAAGCTGACTAGAGCATGAAATCTTTTGGCATGCTTCAGAATATCCAAAGTTAACGTGACCTCCAAGGACTCTCTTTTCTCCTGTATACGGAATAAGCTGCGTTCTAAATTAAGCCAAAATGTAATTTCCTGTAATGCAGTTCCAGACGAAGGATCACGATCCAACTTTGTGACCTAAACAGTTTTAACAGTAATCAAACAAACAACGGAAAACCTTTTGAATTTCTTTAATCCACCTATTTACACCAGACTGAAGAGCATTCAGGAACTGAGCATCATCAAGCTTATCCTCAAAGTCAGATGTTTTTGCTCGTTTTCCTTCTTCTGCACGCTGCTTGATCACCTGCGCGACTAACGGATGAACTGATAAAGTTATTTCAGGTATATCAATGTTCTGTTGTAGGTGTAAAAGACCCATCTCCAGCTCCGTCATTGTTTTTTCCACACTTGGTGCCATTTTATCGCCATCCCTAGAAAACTAAGAAAAATATAGTTCGTCTACCTGTCAGCCCTTCCGGATTCTCGAATATAAGACTTGTAAAAGGGACTTATTGCATTGCTGATAGTTGAATGTAACGTTTCATATGGAGAACCGTCCGAAAAGTTCAAGAATCTCAACTGAGAACTAAAGCTCTTATCTGCCTCTAAAACCCCTCCCCGTTTAATGAAAACGATGCTGAAAATATTTATATGGGAATTCATTATTACCTTTGAACTTTATTATTTGTAAATTTAACTTCGGGAAGGACGGTGTAAGAAACACAGCAGTCTGTGGACTCATCGTCGTCATCTACAACATCAGGCTAAAACTGTCACCATTACCTTTGGTGGAAAGTTTCTGAACAACAATTGAACGAATCTGAGCATCAGATATGAACTTTTTGATTAGCTCTTGACAATTCGGATCATTTAAAGTTGACTCCAATACTAACGAACCATCGTTGGATTCCTCTAGAAGAGTGCATACAATTTTATGCACATATTTGCTGAAAACTACTGTGTCAGCAAGTAAAACAGTTGGTGGTAACTGATTAGCAACGGGATCAGCCGGCGTATCTGCCATAAATGAGAACGACGGCTACTTTGGGTAGTTATTTTTGAAACACGCGCCCAACTCTTATTAGAGTGGCACAATTGAAAGTTCGGTTACAATACCGGGATACCCTCGGAAACTAAAAATAATAGATTTTCATGTCAACGTTGTCATCGAACTTCAGATCTGTTCTCATCCCAAAACAATCTTTCTAAAGGCTTCAAATCGTATCCAGATTGAATCTTAGAAGTAACTTGTTCTTCAATTATATAAATCCAAAGTTGATACAGAGGAGCTGTGTACTTTACCTTCTCTATTCTAGCACTTCACAAATATCAACAGGCGCTCTCAAACCCCTTAACCCGAAAGAACATCGATTTTCATACCTGTCATAAGTTAACAACACTCCCTAATTCGCACTGACTTTACATATTTGCTGTTCGTGTAACATTACCTGTCCATGAGGCAAGTTTATGGTAGCTGCTTTGGTGACTTGAGTACTGATGATAATAACAAGGTGAGCCAAACATCCGAAAGCGAAACAACTAAGACAAAAGCTATCTTTGGAACAAAAAAAGTGTGAAATACCGCTAAGCATTGGTAGTCACGACTCCGACAATCCAGACAAAAACCATCACCGTTCCAATTATCCCTGGTGTGACTGTTCTGAGTGTCAGTAAGTGAATGGCTGTGTGGAAAAAAAGAAAGAAAAATCATTTTCACAAACAGTTCGTGTTCGTTTGACAGACCTTAGGTAAGTCACAGAATGCTCCACTGAAGATAAAAACTTAGTCTTATCCTAACCCCAGCGCATCAAAAAAATTAACCTCGTCGAATATTGTTTTTTAAAGGATAGATTAAGGTACTCAATAATTTTACTATCAAGATACCTGTTTGGTACACTATGTAGTCTCGATTATGCGTTCACGAGTTTGCCTTTTATACCCTCCACCAAGCATTTAGCTAAACTGCGTCGTGCACGTTACCTGTAGAAGCTACCTAGTCATTGACATACAAAACCTTCCGGCTCACCTTTCACCAAGTCTTTACTGAATGTATCTACAGTCTTCCTAAGAGCAAATATAACTGATGTAGGACGCTGACATTTCATCCAAAGTGATCTATTGGATAGTATTGATATCTCTTCCTTCTTGTTTTGTATTTTAATTCTCATTTACAACTATTGCAATGTTGTTTTATGTTCTTAAGTCTCCATTATCAAGGCCTTCATTATATCATTTAATTTTATTACTGCAAGTTGAAGGACCGTCGGAAGTAAGGTCTGTTTGACTTAACTCATAGGAATGGTATAGTTCATTTAATATATATTTATTCTCAAATAACTACGTTACAAGAGTCACGCAAGTTTACAGGCAAGATCACATTTACTTTGAAAGTTATAGCAGTTAAATTGAGTGTAAGAGTCAGTTTCTGATAGCTTATTTACACCATGTCACTGACAAAAACAGTATAATACAGCCACATTTTCAATAGTAGAGTACAAATAAGGAAGGTGCACCATAGGTTCATTTGGGGATTTGCCGAGATCAATAGTGAATTTGTTGGGAAAGATCATATGGAACGCGCTTGATACGAACTGTGATCCAGACAGTCATGTACATGGGGTGCATGTTCCCTAGAGTCGCCAAGGATTTCCCACCGTGAATGGGGTAGTGAGAAGGCGAAAAGAGAGAGAGAAAAAGGCAGCAGTGTGGCAAGTGTATATATATAACCAAAGCAGTACTTAACCTGTAATTTTGAAGTTGTCTATACAGTAGTAACTTAAGATAAAATTCATACTGAAAACTTAATTTAGAGTAATTAATGGGAATATAAGAATATAACCCACAGATAAAGGAGTACACCAAAAAAGAAGGAAGAGTTGTGCAGTGTCAGGTGGATAGAAGAGAAGTCGAAGTAAGACGCTGGATTTATGTACGTTGAAATCGAAAGAGTAGAGTTTGTAAAAAGAAAACATTGATGAATAAAATTTCGCACTAACTGTTTTTATATTATTATTATTGAATGCCAACTTCTAAGTCATACTGTAAGCGCCTGAGTAGGAATGTTGCGGGTGTCTCGACAGAATAGCGACCTCAGCATAGTTTTGGAAACATGAACCTCAGAAGTAGCAAGCGTATAAGAGCAACCTCAGATGACTTTTAACCACCTGCTAGGAACTAGATGAAGTTGCGCATTCTTTGATCCTTTTTTTAAGAAGTCTCATATTAATTACAGTCAGCTAAATCAGGCTGTAAACACTACGACTAGTTATTAGAAATAGATCAAAAACTACGAGAATAAGCCGTAGAAAAGACCCGATAAAAAATTAAAATATCGTCCAGTATGTCGCTAGTAATGTTAGTTGTAATGATGACAGAAGTAAAGACTGTGGTTTTAGATCTGTAGACGAAAAGAATAGGTTTGTTAAGACGTTCATAATAGCTGATGTAGTAGGTTAGAAACTCATGCCTAGATCAGACTGTATATCTGTTATGGCACAGAGGATGATTTCGAATGCACTTTTTATACCTATTTGGGGTCACTTATCAGTTTATTGGACTGGCGCTTGACTTCTTATTGACCTACCTTGTGCTTCATTTCGCCAGATATGAGATACAGACAGGAGTGCCCAATAATGCACGTTTTTTAAATGGCTCCACAAGAACGACAGAATGCATACGGATGAAGCGAATACGGGAAGTGCATTTTCATTTCCAGCTACAAATAAAGTGCACAACTTTGCTTTAGTGAAGGCCTTATTCAGAGCTTTTTCGAATATGGAAAGTAATGAATGTCATCAGTGGACATCGAAGCAGCTTGGAGTGTGAGTAATTTTATATCGAGTACGCAAAGCTTGTCTCAGCCTCTGGAAAATTTAACCAATCCTTTCTTCTCAAGTTATTCACACGTCTTCCAACCTTGCTAACCATTTGCTTTTATCGTAGTTGTTCCTATTCGGGGTTGTTTATATGAGCATACTCTCTTCGCCTGTAGTGGAGATCGAGTAGAGATCGACTATGACTACTGCTATATAAATTACGAGCCCTTCACTCAGAAAAAGTGTTACTCCAAAACCAAGTATACATTTGCTGGCAGTTTCGTGGCATCGAAAGATTACTGAAACCGTGCCAGAAAGTGAGGCGAAATTAAAGAGACTGTGGAGCCAAAATGGCAGCAACACAAACAGAACGTTGGCTCGTACAGATACTAATAAACAAAGAGGTTCAGTAAAAAAAACCACTCGTACAACTGGTTGTAATAATGAATGTTATTTTCAGACCAGCCGAGACCACTGTGCATAAGTGAGCAAGCTCAGAGTCACAGACAACGGAAAAAGTATGTTTTTGTTATAAAATGATACAGTAAAATAACCGCCGGCACAGTTTGTTAACATAATGAATGTTTCCATTACACCAATCGCGTTCTCTTCATAAAGGTGGCCAAATACGGGAACTCCTCCACTAGAAACGGTACGTAGCGGCTTCGTCCATGGGACGGATTGGCAAAAAGTACTATTTTTGGGAGTGAAGGTTTGACGAACAGGAAGCGATCCATGATGCTCGAGTTGGCGCACCTTACCAGCGTGGTTTGTATTCAGAATATGAAGATTGCATTCTCTAGGGTCCAGACCATAAAATGCTGCAGACGTAGGACAGGGCGAAGGAACCAGAAACGACCATAACGACCAACTTTGATACCATATGCATTCCAGACACATTTGGAACCAAAACATCGACTGAATGGATCGACAAGAGCGTGGGTGAATGGGTCAACTTACAACAAGACTGACTGAATTCGACGGCACCAACCAAGCGATGGTTGGAGGAGTGGGCTCAGGATTAAAAAAAAACCAAAGGAGAGGAAAAATGAGCACCATATATGTAGTGTGGGTATAGAGTCCTATACCGTATCCGTCGTCGATTGAGGGGTTAGTCGCGAAAGCGTACAATTAGGCGCACTTGGCGACCGGAACGTGGGACGGTAGTCTAGTATGTTCTTCGTGAGAATCCAATCTCATCCGAATTCAAGGGCCGCGCGGTCTGCTGATCTGGATGTCAGACCGCAGCCTCATCCGCAGATGGTGCAGATGACGCGTGCTTTGACTGGGACGTGAGAATGAAGTCTCTGATATATCTAGCGTAGTGTTCGAAGTAGATACAGGCACCCCGCTGGTAGGTTTGACAGATCTAGTACCGAGTCTCAAAATATCAGTTTGGACACTGTTATGAACGTGTGCTGGCTTCAGACGATCAATCCTGACTATCTCGAGGCGGCCATGTTGATCAACCTTGAAGGTCTTTTTACGACAGGAAGTCGCGTGAAAAGATCGTTCGAGAGGCCGTTGTAAAGGTTTGCGTACCGATTCTACTCGTATGAAAACATGTGAACTCTCAAGAGAGAACGACCTGTTCCTTCTGTATTCCAGTTGACAGCGGAGGCAGTGTTCACAAGCATTCAGGCAATCGTTGCATGTAGTTTGATTTACCGAAATAGTAAAAATTTCCCCAGGAAGACACAATGTCATGCTCTATAGTAGTTGGGCGGTAAAACATTCGATGTCTGCTTATAAACTCGTTCTGATACCTAAGAGGACGAGCGGAAAGGTTTCGTACCAATTGTTGTTTTCGTGTGCTTGAAAAGAACTTTTAAGTAGGTGATGAAGCCGTTCAACCAAACCATTTGAAGCTGGGTGGTAATCGGTAGTGCGTATTGATTCCGTACCAAGCGAACGGGTCAGAGAGGAGAATAATTCGGACTAAAATTGTTGGCCTCGGCCAGTCGTGACAGTCGAGGGACAACCGTACAGAGCTATCCATCGTTCTATGAAACGGTGAGCAACTATTTCCGCCGTAAAAGAAGTGATGGGAATCGCTTCGGGTCATCTTGTGAAACGATCGAAGCACGTGAGTATGAAATCATACCCATGCAATGGTGGCAATGGTGGCAATAGTCTCACAATGTCAATGTGAACATGATCGAAGTGAGCATCAGACGTTGCGTACGTGCTGATGACGCATCGTGCAGCGGCGTGGCGCGATGTGGCTGCGACACCTGGATGAGACAATCCACGAAGGACATCGAAGTCCAGATAATGATAAGCAGAAGGTACGATGGGTCGGAGTACACCAGTAGAAGTATCACACAGGCTAGTACCTGGGCAAATGGATGTGAAGGGATGTAGACTGTTGTGCTTCTGTACAGGAGGGACCGCTTGCTTAGCGGCAGCCATAGCACGGAGATCAGGCACCGGTAAAGTAACTACACTCACTTATGTACGTGACAAAGCATCAGCTACATAGTTCGACTCATCTTTAACTTGACGAATGTCTATCGTGAACTGAGAGATATAGTCGAATGTTCGCATTCTCATGGTGATAGGCGGTCATACATGGTATGCAGAGCATACGTTAGAGGCTTATGGTTACTGAATAAGATGAAGTCGCGACTTCCTACTGCCTACCGGAAATGTTTGATGGCACAGTAGGCTGCTAGCAGTTCTCCACCGAAAGTGTTGTATCCCGTCTCCGTGGAAGTGAGGTGTCGTACGAAAAATTTGAGAGGTTGACAACTTTCGGATATGTTCTGCTGCAATACAGCTCCTATGGAAAAATTCGATGGTTCAACCTCTATACCAAGCGTGGCTGGTAGGTCAGGATGAGCAAGGAGTGTGGTTTACAATCAAGTCAAAGTATTTAATCAGAACCTTAGAGAATATGAAAGTAGTAAACTGACTCTCAAATAAAACCAACAGACTTCTTGATATAATTTATATACGGAAATGTGAAGACAGTGAATAAGCTAAACAGTACTTTGTTTTGACAGACGATTATTGAATTCTTGAATAAAGTAGCAGAATGATTATAGAAGGTTTTATAGCTGCCAAGATCTCGATTTCGCTGATTTTGTCGATACTTTGATAGAATGTTGTATTAAACTTTTATATCGTGCTGTTTTTCCGGTTTTCCAATGCTACAATAACTTCGATTTCCTCCTGGCCACCAACAAGTGATCTGAAGCTCAGTCAACTCGTTTCTCAGCTTCCAAGACATATTAATAATAATAATAATAATAATAATTTATTCTCAAATAACAATCATGTTACAAGAGACATGCCAATTTACAGGCAAGATCAAAATGTTAAGATTAGCAACATATTTTTTTCTGAAAACGGTATAAAGTTACTGAAACATTTCACAAGATTCATTACATCTCTCGGTTAATGCAATTCATTGCACGAACGTACAAATATCCAGTTTATGATAAATGTCGATGACATTGCCCTACCTGACATTCTGAGACTCAATACTAGATCTGTCAAACCTACCAGCGGTATGCCTACATCTACCTCGTACCCTACGGAAGCTTCAGATTCAGAAATAAATGAAGAGATTTAGTTAAACAATCACTGGTACAAGTGGTTATAATAATGAGTGTTTCTAGTAAACCGATCGCGTTCTCTTCATAAAAGTGCATTCACTACACGCCTATGGCATGTCTGGCCTATTTTGTCTGACTATGAATTTTGAGTTATGCTTCATTTCATGGAGTAAGCTCACTTTTTTTCTCCACTTTGCTTCGCTTTGCTTTAACGCTTTGTATTCTCATGTTTGTCTGCTCGAACGATTGTCTGAAATAAATTCATCCAACCGAACCTGCGTTTGGCTTCTTCTTATCTCCGTCTCGAAAACTGGGTTCGCCTAAGTGTGATATAGGGAAAATGAAGGGGAGATTTATTTCAACGCGTATTTGGATATTTATGAATTTCGGAGTCAGAACGCAGCCACTGAAGGCCTGTTGAATCCATATCTACCAAATAAGGCATAGGTGTAGCAAAGATTTCAAGGTTATTCTGGTAGATTTCTCTTACAGGATAATGGAATGAGTTAGGCCTGACTCCTAACTTGAGCAGAGGAACTGACGACTTGGCCTTTCGTGTAGGGTAATGCTATGTATATCTCTCATCTTTATATCATGCAAAATATTTCGCCTGCGAAATTTAATTTGATCTTTAGAGTTGTAAACCGTGATTAACATATAGATATTTGAGTAGTGGGACCATAAACCCGTTTATGTAAGAATTGGATTCGGGTGTCAAATCTTATCCCAGACCTTTTGTGAGGAAGAAGAGATACACCAAGTGAAATTAGTTCATTTGCTGGCGTTTCACAATACCTGGTCCAAAGGGAAACAAGCTTTTGTCTAGTTGAACTCTGCGAGATAATATAAAACGGAAGCTTTTAAGTTTGGCGAAAAGAGGAATGCTCACTTTGATTCCTCAATCATTACATATCAGTTGGAATTACTTTGATTAGCGTCTACCAAATATATAGATGTTTTGTTATATCAGCTGGAACATGCCCAGGAAATAAGCCTGAAAATGTGCCGAAAAACTAAATAATTATTTCTATTGGATCTGTAAGAATTACTAACATTCCTCAATAAGTCAGGAAAGATATTTGAAGTTGGTAACTGTTTGTTCAACTTAAACCACACCCGTTGTGAATACATGCTTCGCGGTGCATGATTCAGCACGGTCTATTCGTAGCTAGCCAGGAATGATTCCTTCCAGTTCGTTAGCGCTCGATAATGCCATCTATACATATTAAACTCTGCAGGTCCTGATTAAGATAACCTAACCTCTGTATTTAAATGTCACTAACGCATATAATCACCCTTATATCTGTCATCAAATGGCTACAACGCTACTTATTCACCTTTATATTGTTCGTTACATACCAGGTTCAAATATATGAAAAAATTCGACGTTACGTGTTTTAATGCATCATTAGTTGGTAGTTTTTTCATTTGGCTCTGACTACAAAGCTTTTTCGGAGTTCGTTTTTTGAGTCGGATAATTGAGTTGCTACGACTTCTTTCCATCATTTGACGTAAGTATAATGTTTTGTAGTTTATTAGTTTTCGGCTTACTATTCTGCTTCCTTATATTATTTTCACACTCCTATGGCCCACCTTCAGGCTAATCGTCTCATGAGTTCTTTCGCCAGTTATGGTAAACGAAACTAAAAACGATAACGGCAGAATCTCTGTAATACCATGAATAGTATTTAGTGGCAACTTTCGGAAACGAGCTAGTGTGGTTCACGTATTCTGTCTTGAAAATATACTGCTCATTATCGGCGACAAACTCGTTGTTTGACTTGCTGGCTTCAGAATTTCGTAAATAATCGTATTTTGTAGAAAGATTGCCTGCTTGTGGTTATTCACGATGTAAAAGACGAGTTCTACAGAAAGCTTTCAGACCTCCAAAACGTTAGGTGCTCTGATATAGTAAAAATGGCCGATGACTTTAACGCTCAGGTAGGTAGACTCAGCGAAAAGGAAAGACTCCTGGGTGGGTCTTATGGTGTCGCGGCTAGTAGAACAGATAATAGTGACCGTCTGATGCAGCTATGCTCAGATAACCACCTATTCCTAGCAAACACTAACATAAGCATAAGGTAAAACACCTTTTTACCTGGCCACCCCTAAGTCTTCACAACGATGGACCCAACTAAATCACATCGCTATAAGCCATCGGTGGAGAGGATCTATCGAAGACTGCCGCTCATTCTGGAGCACTTGTTTAGGCTCGGTCAATAGATGAAATACTGAAACTCCCTCAGTTGAGGTGGTTGGGACATGTGTTGCGTATGCCTAACCACCGCCTGCCTCGATAAGCTCTGTTTTGTAGTGTAGGAGTAGGTTGGAAGGAAGTTAGGGGCGGCTAAACCAAAACATAGTAGCAATCCATGAAGTCATTGACAAGTGGACTGAGTCATGTCGGTAGTTGTCGACTACCTGGTTGGGGTGCGCGAGATGATAATATTCGATGGTTAGAGACCTTGAATGACATGGCTCGAAACCGTTTGCAATGGCGCAGGTGCATTTATTTTTTGTGTTCCCTCAAATTATAATCTTCTAGATTATTCAACACCTCTAGTTTTGTCTTTCTTAACTTATCTCACTGAATTATACATGTTGAATAATATCTTCTAATCCTAATCTCTTCGATTACTTCTAACACCTTTACTACCTCTACTACTATTGGGTTTGAATTGACAATTACATCTCTGTGCTGATGTGGTATGGCAACATGAACTGATGTACTTACGTACGAATTTCTACGTTGCATCTGACTGACTTGTTTAGACTCAGACTATGCTCGAGTGCGAGCGCGTATTTGTTTGCGCCTTACTGGACGCAAGAAAAATATCGCAAGGAAATCTCTTAGGGATATACTTAATGATAATAAAGCTAAGAATATATTTCAGGAACAACTAGAAAAACAGTTAGATGGCCTTGTAAATGATTCCCATCCTAAGTCAGCTTGGAATGACATCCGAAAAGCTGTGAAAACAGCTGTGATATCTGCTAGTGAGGTAAACCATAAGGTTTGGGAAAAGCAGTGGATCTCAGTAGCATCAGCCGACCCGATAGGTGTTTGGAAACTCATCCCACCTGGCTCTGAAGTTTGTGAAGAGCGAAGTCAGCTTGAGCGCAGGCTGATAAAAAGCCTACACAATGATCATGAACAGTGGTGGGTATCGAAAGCAAGGGAGATGGAAAAGGCAGCGGCAATAGGTAACGGTAGACAACTGTTCTGCCTGATCAAGGAATGTACTGGGAATGCATTTGTTAGCGAAACTATCTCAGAAAAGCATTGTCTTATTATTTATTCTCAATCCAGGAGATTGGATCAATGGAGAGAACACTCTAGGGATGATTTCAACTGGCATTCAGCCCCACTTCGGTTACCCACGATCTCCAGTCATCCTGAATGGCGAGTCGACATAAGTCCCCCGACTCTTCATGAGATTGAGAAAGCGATAGGAAATCTGAAGCAAGGGCGAGCAGCGGGTCCTGATAGGTTGACTCCTGGGATTTTTTTAGCAGCTACATTGACCAAGATGTTAGGTAGAATCTGGGAGGTGGACGTAATCCCATCCGACTGGTCTCAATCCCTGATTGTCCCAATTTTTAAGAAAGGACAAAAGTCTTGTGAAAATCACAGGGGAATAAGTATAACTAATATTATTTCTAAATTGTTAGCCTCGTTAATCCTTAGGTGCCTAACTACAGCTCGTGAAGAGCAGACTAGAAAAAACTAGGCTGGTTTCAGACCCGGACGTGGCTGTATAGACCACATCTTCACAGTACGACAGGTATTGGAACACAGACACACATTTAGGCGTCCGATAATAGTTATCTTCCTGGACCTTAAGGCGGCATTTGACTCTGTGGATCGTGAGGTTCTGTGGCAGTGTCTGTCATTGAAAGGTGTACCAAAGTAGTACATTAACCTCATACAAGCTCTGTACTTGAACACTACAGGTCGAGTGATAGCTTATGGCGAACTGTCATCGGAATTCTTCACTTCAAGTCTCAGCAAGGATACAGAGGGTTCGATTGGCTTTTGCCAACCTGCGTCACTTATGGCGCAGGCGAGATATCCGTTTGCTGACTAAAGGACGAGTCTACTGTCCAGTAATTCGCTCCGTCCTACTATATGGATGCGAAGCATGGCCAGTCAGAGTAGAAGATATTCGTAAGTTATTAGTATTCGATCGTAGGTGTCTTTGAAGCATTGCTCGTGTACCCTGGGACAACCGAGTAAGCAATGCTGTCGTTCGGAAACGAGTACTAGGTAAGGATAGCAAATCAATAGATAAAGTATTGAAACTTTATCAGTTGAGGAGGTTGGGACATGTGTTGCGTATGCCAAACTACTGACCACCTCGACGAGCATTGTTTTGTGATGTAGGGGTAGGTTGGAAGAAAGAAACTCATTATTCTGAAACAAATTTCTACTCTGCCTTGTTTACTTTCACACTTTAGGCTAATTATTATGTAAAATTTTCATCGTAGAAATCCAATGGAAATTGCTAGATCCATTTCATCAATTATCAAAAGGACTGTCGACCCAACTATGTTGTTTGATAAAGGTAAGTCAAATATATGGATAAATTCGACAAATATAGGTGAGTATATGGATGAAGTACTATGGCAGCTTTTTTGTACTCTTTATGATATACCATTGACAAACTTTACAAAAGTTTACTTTTTAAAATTGTTCATGATGACTGCCACTAATCTGGGTTTTGCTGGAAATTTCGTTCTGAGTAACCTTTCTCGAGATAAAAGAGACCGGCGAAAATGGATACCTTTTCTTTCATGCTTAGTTTCTTGGTTTGAATGCGCTGGCACAGAGATTCCTCAAGTAAGTACGATTTTTAAATATATTTTATTGTAAGATAGTGGATGAGGCAAGAGAAGGAAAAGATAACTATACAAAGCTCTTAAGCTCCATCGAATCTCGAGAGCATGAGTTACAAATACGTCGAGAAGCTGAATCCAAAAGGCGTGACGTCGTTAAGGATCTTGAGAAGAAAGTGTCTGACATTAAGCATCGTTTCGCCGAAATGACTGAAACAATGTCGTCTGCGGAAAATTTATTACTGTCCCTAGTTTCTTCAACAGAACAGAAGAATGAACAGGTAGGTTCCCATCAATTTGGAAGTATAAAGTCGAAACTTAGTAATGATAACTATAAACCTGTTAATGTGGTATATTGTTTGGCTGTAAACTTTGTTCAATAAAATTGGCTTTCAAGTTACCGTAACAGTCATCAAATCCAAATGTAATTCACCTCAAAGATAACAACAATGCACTTTGTAAAAAGTCAGACTATACAAAATCTTATTTGACTTCTGAATTGGAAAAAAAATCCACCTTCATTTATTGTTCGTAGCATTGTTATTATGACTTGATTCTTACGATTGACACATATTTATGACCTGCTACATATGTATCAGCCCGTTTTTCATACCTAATATCACAGCTGGAGAGGAAGCTAACATGTTGAGGGGCAAAGAAAAGATATGGGTACTAAATAAACTTTAAAATGAAGAAAAAAGTACATCTCACAACTTATTAAGTCATATCAATACTAAATTATATGCCATCTGTTTTAATACGTTAGATCCGTAACTGCTACCTCAGCGTGGTGGTGTGTGACGAAATCTCATCATCGATACAATGGGCTCGATTGGTTTTTGCCAACCTGTGTCACTTATACCGTAGGCGAGATATCCGTCTGCTGACTAACGGATTAGTGTACTGCGCAGTAGTTCACCCCGTCCTACTTTATGGCTGTGAAACATGGCCAGTCAGAATAGAAGATATTCGTAGGTTGCTGGTTTTCGACCATAGGTGTCTCCGAAGCATTGCTCGAATATCCTTGGACAACCGAATAAGCAATGCTATCGTTCGAAAACGATTACTAGGTAAGGATAGCAAGGTGTTTCTCACAAATATTCATTTTCAGGTATGCTGCTTCTACTCAACAGGTGTTCATAGAGGTTAACTCTTATAATGGCGAACTTCACCTTTCCAATTAGATTTCTCACTCTGTCAATTAAACTTGAAAATCACGGAATCAGTACAAAGGTCATTAATTGCCGGCCTCAAACATCACCTAAGTCAAGGAAATTTTCACCGATTCATTTTCTTCCTCAGACCCTTAAAAAAGAAATTCGCTTCCAGATTATATGCATCCGAGAAAGGTCAACTATTGGAACAACATAACCGACTTGTTTAGACTTAGTGTGTGATTGCGTTAAATATTTTGAGCTATTTCTTCATGCTATTTAAACATATCTTCGGTTATTTATTTATTCTTTGGAGAGATAACTTACACTAAACCGCTCGAAATTAAAAATTATCTACTCATTACAAATATATCACCATTTATATCATAAACAATCAGTCTAATTCTCAATTTATTTGAAATTATCAAGTTGAGCCCTAGTTATGATACGTATGTCATAGTTACTAATTATCACTTCTTCATCGCTCTAGATAGAGTCTAATGGAAAACGACTTCAAACTCTGCTGGAAGAATACGAAAATACACGATCGCACCAACTTGAAAACTGTGAAATGTTACCTGAATCGATCTCAAAAGTAAAGTGTCAACTTGACTCAATCGAATCAGATATGCATAGATTATTTGAAGCCTATAATCAAATTGTGGATCGTAATATAACGCTTCAAAGCTATGAGTGTCTATTGGAGTCGGAACTAAAACCAGCAATGGAGCAGGTGTATGTGGTGATGGATAAACTGGAATCTTGTGAAAAACAAGTAAAGGTAAGATTCTATTAAGTAAAAGGTATTGATTGCCTCTTTTTTTACATTTAAAGCTACATCCTAAACTCTGTGTAGGTCAATCGGTCAAAAAGTCAGAAAGTATAATCATTATTTTCAACTCACTTTATAACGTTTATTTGACTTCATTTCTCTTTGTTAGATCGTCAGTAGAGTGATCCAAGTCGAAAAAAATATTCATCCGTACTCAAATGTAATTCCTCAAATATTTTCATATTAGGAAATCAGTAACATTTGTCATAACTTCACTAAATGTTTCTTTTGTTTCAGGTTTAACCATTAATTCATATGTTGCTAATAAATCTAGCAAATGGTCAACTGAAATGAAATTCTCAGATTTAGAGGAGGCTTTTTCGGCACAACTTCTAACAGATTATAACTTCTGATAATGATTATCCTATTATTCAACTTGTTACTAATGTCATTCTGTTTACTAGCAGCCATTGAATATGATAATAGCACAGTGTATTGTCAAGAGATTGAGAGCAAATGTTAACACCTTTTCTATTTCACTTCACATGAATTTTAATGACAAAATAAATGATAAGATTACAAGTAACACAATAAAAATTCATATGAAGCAACCAAATTTAAATTATTTCCTATGCTATTTGGGAAACGAATATAGACACTGTTTTCGCCTCAGCTTCCTTGAAGTTATTGAATTGTGAATTCAACAATGGTTTGGGATTTTTACCCTAACATTATTTGTGTTATTAATAAGCTTTTTCATAATTGATTTACTGTATTTTAAAATATAATCTTCAGCTGTTTTTTTATTCTAGAATACTCAAGGTAAAATAGACGTTCTAACTACAGATTTGAAAAATATGGACACTTCATTGAATGAAGCTAAACAACACTTAGTGGAATATCGGTCACAATTAATGAGAAAAAAAGTATTGTTGAATACTAAGAAAAAGGTAATTCCCAAGTAATGTATATAATTTTAAATACGACACAACTATGTCAAAATACTTTACACTCCGTTTACAGCTCATATTTAATATCGCTTATCGCAAACGAATGAATTGCAATTCACTGATTTTTCAATTCATCAAGTAATAAGGCAATTGCATCCACATATTCAAAACAAAAGACTTTTTCCATTCACAAGTCTAAATTAGTATCGTCAGTTCAAAGTAAAACCAATCTTTGTACTTTAAGAAATTTTAAGAGACTTAATAAGATTATGTCACGCTTTACCCATTTTAGACACGTGAAGCTGATATTGCCAACAAGACAAAGGAGAATGATTCATTCATATCTGAACGACAACATTTGAGAACCCGATTATCTGAAATTACCCAAGAGAATTCCTCCACTTCTAAACAAATCAATTTCGAAGAACAAAGGCTTCAAACGGTGATAAAAATTATTCATGCTCATAAGAATCTTACTTTTTTAAATGCAATAGTGATGTTCAAGTTCAGATTTTCTCTAATAACTAATTCGATCTCTGTAGTTTATGGAATTTTATGCACTATGTACCATCTATGTCCTTCCATGTTCATACTCACTTTGATACTATTTTGATCAAATTGGAGAACCTAAGATATATAGATTTCATAGATAATGATAAAGTATACCACTGACGTAGTCCTCATTGCATTCAATTATCCAATAAATAAATAGCTAACAACATGACTGCTATCGAGTAAAATTTGCTTGATAACGATAGTTGGGATGCTTAAGCTAAACTACATTCTTTCTATCCACCGTATAGAACGCCTATCTTGAATTTATAGTTTATTGGAAATGAGAATCCCCACTAGAGTTCATGTTTATCCATATAGGTGCACAAATCAGTCACAATCAACAAGTGTTAGACTATTTAGTCGATTGAAAACAACAGCACATCTTTTCAAATTAAAAGTCTAGCCAGTTATATGCGATCTAGTCATAAATTATGTTAATAATTATACAAGAGTGATAGAGTTGGTTAGTTGTCCTTAATTAATGTTCGGTGATTCTAGTTGTTAAAAACTTATAACACTTGACAAACCGAAAAATAGATTCCACGGTAGGTATTCGGATCTGTTCCTTTATTGTTAATGAAGATAGTAGTATGTATTTAATATAAGAAAAATTATTGATCGTAAATCATGTGTATGTTATAGAATGTTTGCTGCATTTCTACATGGTCTCATAGTCGATGTTGTGTTTCGAACTTACTTAGTTTATTACCGAAATATTGACCACGAAAACGTATTTTTTTATTTATAGCTAATTAACTATAGCTGTCTAGCGTTATTAATAGTTATTAACCATGGCTTGGTTATTTTCATATTTTGAAAACTCAAACCTAACCTTTCGTTATTTTACGTATTACACTATACTACTTACTAATATTCGGTAGCTTATGTTACTATCAATCACTGAAATGCACAACCTAGAGCATCTCGTGATGTGTTGATTGCACATTATTATTATTATTACTACCACATTCCCTCATCATTCTTATCGATTAGTCTTCATTGTGCAAATTGTTTGCGCTCAATCTTTTTGTAAAACTATACAATCTAAACTTTGTCTGGATACTTGCACATAGAGGTGCTTTTTGTAGTCCATAATTTATATGTTGAATTGTATTAGTGTATCTTAAAATCACAGGCTTTGATCATTGTCAAACAGTTAAATCACAGTACTAGAAGCGTTCACACATGAATCTAGCCCACCCCAAAAAAGGAACATCATTCTTCTTGCACTGGTTGCGTTTTTTACTCGGAGTTCAAAGGAGAATATGCCTTCTAAGAAGTGAATACCTAACCTCCACCCACGTTTCTGTTCTAATCTACTATAATTAACATCTAATTCCTGTTAATATTTCTTGTTTGGTAGAATGTTTATTAGGAACTGAATATTCCATCAAAGCTAGTGTTTTTATTTTTGTTAAATAGCTTGCTTGATACAATTCAAAATAGAGGCTTCATATACATTTTAATGTTATTGTTTAAGCCAATGTTTTGTAGATCTCAAGTATCGAATTTAAAGATCATATTACTTGCACTGTAAACAAATAGAGGAGGTATTGACTTGTTTTTTTCCTCTATAGTCTACTCACTATCTTGTAGAATAGAACTTTGACATTTAAAAGCCATTTTAAAAATTTTATTTAAGAAGAAATTCTGTTTATCATAATTCGTAGATCTTTGATTTCTTCAATAATAATTGTCATAATTTAAATTGATTTATTTTCTTTGTTTAGATCTCAAAAAATCGTACCTACGTTGAAGAGCTTAACAAATCGCTACTAGAAATAAGCCAAATGGTCACTAAAGCACCATTTTCTACATGAAACTGTTATTTCTGATGGATTAAATATATTTAAACATTGAAAATTAAGTAATCGAATCAAAAGTGTTTGAAATTTTTGTACATATATATCTGTGTATCCCTTTCATTCACTGCTAATAATTGTCATGTATAGATTTTAACAATATACTGTAATATAATGCTTTCATTGACTCGTTATACACTTGTTGTCTCGTTTTCAGTAAGATAAAATTGTCATCTGAATGTAAAGAGGCAACTAATAATAAAAAGTTACTACACTATTCACTCAACACTTGTTTACTTCTAAGTTTCATTGCCATCATTTGCACTCATGTTTCTAGTCGCAGAATATTTTTCACTACAAAATGACTATTAGAGAAAAATTAAATTCAGAAATTGGTGACAAATTCGTCCTAGTTTCGTAATCAAGATTACAAGTGTAGGATCTAAACTGAGGTTTCGACTGAGGAATAACTGTCTAGGTAATTTAAATACGCGTCTTGACCAGTTGAAATCAAAACAAGTATTTTGGGTAAACAATGGTTCTAATGTTCATCATAAATATAACTATACATCATTACCTAAACAATACTACCACAGCTATTCCAGAAAAATTGTTCAATTAATCAAATCCACAGCCGATAAGTGATGGATCAGATTCATTCGACAGATAATATTTGGTTGCTTTATAACACTGTTTCCTAATCTGGAAGAGTGCTTCAATTCACAATCATGATGCACAATTCCAGTCAGTACAAGAAACCCAATCAAAAGAGGAACAAATCAATATGGCTGTTACCATGACCAAGTATCAGCATAAACAACATAATGCAGTTCAGTAAGAAACATAGAAACTCCGTAAAGGCAGAAGAAACAGGATACGAATGTTGTCATCTCAAATGGAATCGAACAGACTAACAAAATGTACAACTGAAGGAACCAATAAGGACATATTACAAATGTATACATGGAGGGATTTTCACAAACAAAGCTTTCCAAAATAGATCTTACACAAGCTTCACCTGAGTTCTACTAAACAAAATCATCCAAAGGCTATCGCTGAGTATACCTTCAAGTTTCTTTTCTACCCGACTTAGTCTATCCATTCTGCTATGATGTACTGTGTCCCAGATCTGAACGTCATGCGTGCTAACCCCCAAGCTGACCACTTGAGCCAGAACAGAAGACTGGAGGCAAGAGTCTATTTGGCTACCAAATCTTGAACATAAATACTCATTTATATATATGCGTTCCTTCCCTATAGAGAATGAATCCATATTTCAACCAATAACATGCGTTCGTCAGTCAGCTACAAGGTAGTACTTCGTACGTACATCAGTTCAAGTTGCCATACCACATTAGCACAGAGACGCAACTGTCAATTTAAATCCCATAGAGGTAGAGGTAGTAGAAGTAATAGCGATAATCAAAAATATCGGGGATCGATTATATGACTGGAAAACTATGATTCAGAAGATTACAATTTGAGAGGGTGCAAAGATGGATGCACTAGCGCCATAGCAAACGATTTTGAGGCATTTCATTCAAGGTGTCAAACCATCGGTTACTATCGTCTCGCGAACCCCAACCAGGTAGTCTACACATACCAACACCACTTGTCAGTGACTTCATGGATTTGTGCCATGTTTAGGTTTGGTCGCCCGTAGTCTTCTTCCGGCTTACCCCTACATCACAAAACAGCTCGACGAGGCAGTTTGATTGGGCATTCGCAACAGATGTCTCGACCAACTCAACTGACGACGATCCGCCATTTCATCAATTAATCTAACCTCCTCCTAACAACAGCGCTACTTACTCAGTGGTCCCTGTAAGTACGAACAATGTTTCGAAGACACCTATGGTTGAGTACTAGCAGCCTAGAAATAACGTCGCTTCTTAGAGGCCATGTTTCGCACCCGTATAATAAGACGGACCAAACTGCTGGGCAGTAGACTTGCCATTTGGTTAGTTGGTGGATATCTCGTCTATGCCATGGGTGATGCAAGTTTGCCGAAGCTATTTGAGCGTTCTGCATCCGTGCTGAGATTTCCTCACACACTAGGCGAGCAGCACTGAAATATGTATTCATCCTTTAGGACATTTCTGATTGGCTCACTATATCACATTTGTTCTCAAACGAAACCTGTAAATGGTGACTATGTCTATATGTTTGTTGTGAAAGTGACCGGTTTCAGTAACATTTATCATGAACTGGATATTTGTACGTTTGTGGAATGAATCGCATCAACCGAAAGATGTAATATGTCTTGGAAGCAGAGAAACTAGTTGATTGAGCTTCAGATCACTACTTGTTGGAGGCCAAGATGAAACTGCAGCCAATGTAGCATTGTAATCATTCTGCTACTTTATTCAAGTATTCAATAATCATCTGTCAAAACGAAGTACTGTTTAGCTTATACATTGTGTCTTCACATTTCCAATTAAAAATTTTTATCAAGAAGTCTGTTGGTTTTATTTGAGAGCCAGTTTACTACTTTCATATTCTCTAAGCTTATGAATAAATACTTTGATTTGATTTTTAACTAAATAAAGTTAATTCGACAAAAGAAACCTCATGTTCAAATTTCTTTGGTAAATTGTCTTTATTCTTAGTTGACTGAAATTTTACGATAATTTCACTGTTATCTAAATAATCTATCATAATGAGATATCGAACGTTTGTTTAATAAGAGTTGTATATTCTCAACTGACGACTTGTAATCTTTGTAGTACTAGCCATATGGTCGTTTTTAAAAGGTTTATTGATTTAATGAAAGTTTTTAACAAACGATAAGATTAAAGAACAATCATTTCCTCGAAATTATCATTCAATCAGTTTCAACTGTAAATTTAAAACAAGAATAACAATGATTTAACTGAAATGATTAATGTGATAAGAGAAATGAATTTGTATGTGCATCAATCAACAACGAATAGAATGACTAACCTCAGAATTTTATCTTTCACTATGAATCAGACTGATTGAAGACAACTTTTTGGCTGGCGACAGAATAATTCATATTTAACAAAAACGATCATTTCAATCAAATGATTTATGTCAACCAGAATGCACTCATTATAAATATTTCATTACTGTTCGTCACCACGACTATACATGCTAATCAATTCAATTGCTTCGAAATATTAATTCACTAGGGAAAATATTTTATGATATGAATTGGATTCACGTAGGTTCATTGTTTGTTTTACACTAAAAGCTACACTAATAACAATTGACAAATGTCCTTAGCAAATATTTTATTCTTGAATTTTTTAATCTTTTCATTTCACATATTAATCTGAACATTTTGTAGTAGTGACTTACTAATTTAAATATTGCATTACCAACCAACGAATCATGAACTCGAAACCAGTCTAGTGGCAAAAAGAGATGTAAACATTCAGCACTTATAAGGACATAACATACTAGTGCAAAAGTACATAATCACTAGTTGAATCGCATATTATTAACATCAATTAACTTGTTCATTTAAACGGAATAAGTTTATTCCGTGTTCATTTAACTCCATTAATGCAATGAACTGACAGGTTACTTTTATCTGTGAGGATTTAAAAATGGAAAGGAAACTATGATAATTCACTATTCATTTTATTTTAGAACTTCACAATAAATTCAGATATGATTTTTCTGAACATTAAAAAAAATTACGGAATGTTTCGTTACAAATCTGAGCTTGCAATCAGCAATAACTGTGGAACAGTTCCAGTAGAAGTTGTTCCATATCATAGTACACAAATGAATATGATAGAGGCGTGACCATATACATATATATACATCCTCTATGTTCAATAAAGATATCAGTAAATAAATATTTCTTTGTTTATCTGTCAAATACACATCTGTTGATCATTCAATATTTCTTTAATGTAGAAAAACACAAGATTTTTCATTTAATAATATTTGTCTAGTAGCTGTTTGTGTAGTGATTGATTTGTCAACTGCTATAGATAATATAGCACTGATTAACAAAAGAATTATTCCGAAAATTGAAGTCAATGGTGCCCAACCTGTGAAGATGAAAGGGAAAAAAGAATATATAAAGAGAAAATGCGCATATTAATTCATTTCTATTTGCTTAGTGTGTCCACCTTATCAAGCTATTTAATTGTGACTGGTATGTTTCTTATCTATAATATAGTATTCTTACTTACTTAACTTATCACTCTTATCGTTTGTGGTTCGATTCAGTATTGTTGGAACAAATAACTGATAGATAACTATTACAGTGCATGCCGTTTTGGATGAATTTCCCCTCGGGGTCTAGCAGATGAAATGTTTTCACTACATGAACTTCACGTAGCATATACGAACCAACACAACCTGAAAATTGGCTTCATAAAATGAAGCATCAACTTTGATGACTACTTTGATGACTTACTTGTTTTTACCTTAATGTGTAGAAATAAAACCTGATAACTGGTAGTGAAATAATTTATGGCAGTTTATAATATGCATAGTACGTGTAACAACGATATCTAGTCCAGTTTTCTTAGAATACTGATCACCTCACGCAATCTTCAGGTTTAAGATAGACATGGTACTATTTATCTATGAGAAACACGCAATTAAATGGAGAGCAAGGCGGATGTCTGATTTTTATGTCAAATAACAATCACACTTTATCATGGACTTTGTGGCTTATTGAATTCGTACTAATCAGTTGAATGGCTTAATGATAGTTTTGAAGCCTAACGATGTTGAATATAACAAAACATACCTATGGAACAATTCCCCTTTGAATAAGGTCCAACACTGCCACCACAAACTTCACGAATTGTAACTGAATCCCATCCCGCTGGCCACATAATGATAGATATTAATAGAATTAAGTCTGTGTAAACAAAAAACAAGCAAATACATACATAAAGTTAAAAATGTAGACAAATTCGACTTTATAAAACCAGAAATTCTACCATCTAAGATAGACTAAATTTCAGTCTAGGATTGTGGAAATTGTTGGGTTTCACTGAAACCATGTGTCGATCGTTGATAGACCACCCTTAGAAACCTAGAGGCACTATGTGGCCATTTTGACATAGTATGTGCCTCATCAGAAGTGCACACTGACAAAAGCCACGAGCGGGAATCGGACCCAGGACCTTGGGTCTCGCGTGTGAACGCTTAACCCTCTAGACCAGCATCTAACGGTGTTAATATATAACTTCAGTCATTACGCGATATTGTGTGGTCACTGCCTTCGGTGGGTAACCACCTCACGCCTGACACGGTTGAACTCTACTAGTCACGGTTTCACACCAGAACTCAGAGAATTCCCTTACGAAGCTGATCACTAGTGAGCAGATGTTAATTTTCATTACTGGATTGATTAAGAATAGAATACATACTAGAACATGAGAATAAAAGTTAGTACAAACACAATTAACTCCTCCCGAAGCCCCTCTAGGGCTACTGTCGGTCCCAAACCCGGATAAAGGAGGAGGTTTGGGCCTGGGATTGGCGACCTCATCCCACAAAAAATTAAATCGTTAACGCTAAGAATAGCATTTCTAAAATTGAATATCTGGAATTCTAAACAATTGTCAACAAACACCAAAATCAGAATTTTCAATACAAACGTCGAGACAGTTCTACTGTATGGAGCGGAAACTTGGAGAACTACCAAAGCCATCATCCAGAAGATGCAAGTACTCATTAACAGTTGTCAACGCAAAATACTTCGGATCCGCTGGCCAGACACCATCAGCAACAATCTACTGTGGAGGATAAAAAACCAAACTCCAGTTGAGGAGGAAATCAGGAAGAAGCGGTAGAAGTGGATACGACACACTGGGAAAAGCACCGAACTGCATCAAAAGACTAGCTCTCACTTGGAACCCTCAAAATCAAGGGAAAAGAGGAAGGCCAAGAAACACATTATGCTGAGAAATAGAGAACGACATGAGAAGAACGAAAAAAAATTGTACAGAATTGGAAATGGAAGCCCAGGACAGAGTAGGTTGGAGAATACTGGTCGGCAGCCAATGGTCGTTTTGGGGTAACAGGCGTAAGTAAAAAAGTAAGTACTAACACTATTATCAAGATGGTGGATATTACAGAAATAATAACTTATTTTTGTATCATTCCTATTCAGTCATGCGAATTTACATTATCAAAATATAAAATCTTATGGGAATTAAAAATCGTTGTTTATTTTCTAACAGAAAAATTGGTGTATACATTTCCACCTATTTTACGTATGAATGAATCAAATGTATTGAAAAGAAACATGAACGACATAATTATTTCTCAGTGTATCAAAATTTATCTCATTGTCTTTCAAGTAACAAAATATTATTGTCTATAATCTAATTCTATAATTATTTAACCAAAATAATTATTTCTACTGTTATTGTTATTATGATTATTATCACTTTTTCTAAATTGAATTTATTATTTATTAAAATTAAATAATTTTAAAAATTAAGTCTATCTGGAAAATAGTTTTTTATTTTAGAAAAGAAATGATATTTGTTTAAATGTTTCTGTGATTATTAGTAAAGTTCTTTTACTGGTATTTGTCAATACACAGGAGAGGAAACATATTTTCGAATTTGTAGCACATCTTTGATTCAATGTTAAATATGTGTACAGTATCAATTACTTTTGAGCATTTTTCGGTTGATCTATTGCATGAGTGCTGCCCGACGTGAGTGCACAGACCGAGCCACACAAATCTCTGCTCGACGGTGTTGCGCATTTGTCGTTGAAACGCACCGATGCGATGTCACAAGCTAAACCTGCCAAATTGTGTATGGTGGACTCTTGGAGTGAGATGCATGCACCAGTGAAACCAGAGACACCGGTTGTTCCGGTCACGAGCCACCGAAACCCGTGCAAACATTGGAAGCCTGTGTGCAGACAACGAAGGAACGAGTGTGTGTGTGGATAGTGTGACCGGTGTGTCGATGAAGTCGCCCGAAAGTGTGCTGGATTCGGCTGCAGCTTTCGTGAAGAGACCCAGTGTGAATGTTGAAGTGCAAGTGGATAGAGTGAGCACACCTGTCGTCAGTCTGACCACACACAAGTTAGAACGGAAGGCGGTCGAGAAGAGTCTGTGTACCAGCTGTGGACATCGGTACGTGAATACCGAAGAGACGGCTTGTCAGACCGTTCAGCCCAAGATCGAACCGGTTCCTGTGTCTGTGAGTGCGCCTGTCACTCCTTCTCCTGTGTTTTCTGTTCCTACTGCTGTTTCTTCTCCTCGTGATGCTTGTGTTTTTGTCGCTCCTTCGGTTTTCGATTGTTGGTCTCAATGTAATTTGGTTACTTCACTTGTTACTCCTCCTCTTGTATCTTCTTCTGATATTTTTGATAATGCCTCACGTCTCTCCAATGCACTTGTAGATTCCTTCTGCAAATCAGTCATTAACCGCTCTACGGTTGGAATTCTTACTGATGCTGTACCGTCTCTTCCTCGTGAACGAAAACTTTCAAACCTTATCGACACGTCTGCATACTTCCTTATTGATCATGAATTTATTTCTTTGCCAATTCAGGATGAAGATGTTCCACTCGACTCTGGTGACCTTGAATGGGAGTTAGTTGATGATAATTTGAAAGAATTACATCGTAGTTTAGTGAACAGTTCTGTTCAAACTGAGGACTCATATATGCGCAAGCCAGAGACCCGAAAGGATTATTCTCCCCCTTTTGCTGTCAGCCAAATACCCAGCGTTAACAGGAAAAACTTTGCAGTCCAGTATATATACGAGCCAATACAAGATAATGCTAGTTGTCAAACACAGCTAATGACAACTGATATAATTCAGAAACAGATTATTCATAACGAAGATGCTGAAACCATGACTGATGATATAGAGCCAAAAGTTGCTATCTTACTTCAAAACATAAGTTCTACAGATATAAGAGAACGTTTAATTGAACGTTATTACTACACTGCACCAAGCAGTACCACATTTATGACTGACGCAGAAATTCAAGTTAATCTGACAAGCTCTGTTTACAAAGAATATTCAAAGGACTCCTACATGAAAGAGACTTCGACAGAGCATCGTATAGAAACTGAGAATATAGAACTCGAAGAATCGAGTGGACATGATGCTAGTGATCAAGGTGTATTAGGCACTTCATATTCACGATACATGAAGCGTTTGCTTCAAGAAAGTAGTGAAGCTGAAGTTTGGGAGAAACGTGCCCCGATGCATTCTGTCTATGAACATTATCAAAGCCGTCGGCAGTATGGGTCAGTACGTGAACAGGCTTCTATGGCTATGGAAGAGCCCGTTGCTGCAGCAGATGTTGGCATTCAAATTGTGTTCGATTCACCTCCACATACTTCATCGTCTGAATCCGAAATATCAAGGTCCGAATCACCGCTTAGTGGATCCAGTTACACCTACGAAGCATATTTGATTCGCTCAAGACTAGGACAAGTATGTGAAGTCCAGTGTCAGTTCTGTCCTACACATATACCAACAGCATCACAAACAGATCATTCTGGAATTTCTATGCAAACTGAAAGATATGAAAAATTAAAGGAAGATATTTTTGAAAACTATCAAAGAAGGCTGATAAAAGATCAAATCGCTGAAGCGTGGACTCAAGTTGACCAAGAATCCTACACAGAATCTCGAGTGGAACAAGTTAGTGAACCTATCGACGTAATTGAAGAACGTTTCTTGGAGATAACTGAGAAGAAAAGTAAAAAGGTTTATAGCCAAATAAAGGTAACTGAGGAATTCACTGAGGAAGAGGATTTGATTGTTTGTGAATTAGGTGTACAAACAGATCCATTCTATGATCAACAGCACCATATCAAACCAAAAGGAATTCATGCCTCAATGGATTTACGTGAAGAAAGTACCAGACATCTAAATACTACGGGTATTCAAACATCAGTCATTCGTCTAGACAGTATTATCTTCTCAGGTGATTTAGAATGGGCTGATGAAGATCTGCGTGAAGTAATTAGGATGGGAATTAGATTGCTTCGATCTGATAAGCATGAAAGTGAAGATATATCTGTGTCAAAATATAAGTCTCATCATTTGAGTAGTTACGCCAGATTACCGACTGATGCTACTGGAAAGGTCCTTATCAGTAGCGGCACACAAGTAATTCCCATAGAATCAGATTTAGAGGAAAAGTTCCAGAAGGAGTGGCAATCAGAAGCTATTTCTTTCCATGAATCTGCAGAACCCTTAGAATCCGATCATATCGTGGAAAAGGTTGGAATGCTTACTGAGGAAATTCACCACATGTAAGTTTTGAAACATGATTCTTATTATATTACTGCATGAAATACCTTTCAGAGTAGCAATCACTTGTTTGAAAAGCAAATAATAACAACATGAAAATATCTGCTAATGATAAAGCTTTAACATCAGAGATTACTTCGGATTGTTGAATGGTAGCTGCAGGAAGTAATAAAATATGGTTTAATAATTTCTGATCTTAAGGGGTCGAATGTTTACTGAAGAATTCAAATTCAAACCACTCCAGCGCCCTAGTCGAGTGTGCTACAAATAAGTCAGTAGGGCAATAAATAAACTGTATTAGTGTTGATCGAATTCTGTCAACTATGCTTGTGACACAAATATGAACACTACGCATAACATAGTTTCGTTTAACTCATTCGAAAGATGCAGGTACATGTACTCACATTGCATTCACATTGTTTTGTGAGGACTAATGTTACTACCCGGTTGCCTAAAGCGAATTAGTTAAATCTGGGTTTGAACCTGATAACTTATGGCTAAAACATGAAAAGTGTTCCCATTACTATTTCCCAGCTACATCACTTAATAATGAAAAAAGCACTCGGAAAATTTTAAAATTTTGCATTAGAAATATTCTAAATTAACATTTTTTTCTAAAATATCCGTTCAACTAATTCAACTTGAAAACAGGTTAATAGTTTCTATGTCCATTGAATGCTGCATCATTCACAAAAATATGAAAATTATTTCTTAAAAGGTTCAATGTTCTTCTTTAAAAGTAGTCTTGTCACAAATTCGATCGGACAAATATCACAGTCAGCTTACATGATTAGACAAAACTCACTTGGTAAGTACGCTAGAGTTGGTTATTTTCTAAATACCCGTATGGATTCTTCTCCAGTATGTCATTTAAATTAACAGAAACCAAGCAATTTGTATCCAATTTAGTTCAGTTCTGATTTATGCTAACTTGCTTCACCAGTGATAGGTTATACAGAAACTTTCTTCTTAAGTCGGTTTGCCGGTCTATAGAGAGTTGGTGGTTCGTTCCCTGAGCTGGATGTTTTGGTTGGGAAGCTTTCATTGTTCTTCTGAACAACATCATCAGCATAAACTTCAGATAGAAGTGAAGCATTAGAATTTCTCCACTTCTGACCGATAGCTTGTTCTGCTAACCTCGATCTTGATTGATTGTTGTTGACCTTAAGTCTGTTGTTGTTTGCACCTTTGTTTTGATTGCATCCCCCTTTTGATCTGTTTTTTGATCCTATGTTGCCTATGATTTTTCTGATTGGTTTATAAATTGGGTCAATGTCGATGTGTTTATTGATTGCTGACTGACATGAGTACCAAGCTTCAAAAAATTCTCTAGTGCTCACTTTCCTCCTCCTATCCAGTATTTCCACATTGTTCTAACCGAATGTATGTCCATAATTAGCCGTATATATTAATATAAGCTAAGAATTATCGTGGCGTTTGGCTACTAATTGGTGTTCACGTAAACGAAGCTGAAGAAGACATCCACTTTGTCCTATGTAGTGTTTTTCACAGTCTGGACATTTTATTTTGTAGATGATATTCGGTTTTTCTTCTTTTGTCATTTTGTCCTTCGGTCTACATTGGATTGATTGAAGTGATTCTGTTGGTTTGTGCGCTACACCTATTCCAAATGGTCTCAGTAGTCGTGCTATGTGTTCCGATATGTCTTTGATGTATGGTAGGATGATCCGTTTATTGGTTCCTGTACTTGATTTCGCTTCTGTTGACTATTTCAGTTGATATTTTTTGATGAAGTTGCATGGATAACCGTTAATTTGGAAGATAGTAATCAGATACTTTTCCTCGTTTTTGAGTGCTTCATATGTGCTACAGTGTGTCTTCGCCCTCTTGAACAAAGTTTGTATGCAGTTGATTTTGTGAGTTCTTGGGTTGTTACCACTGTGGCTGAGAATTAGGTCTGTGTATGTTGGCTTGCGAAATACTTGAGTCTCCAGTTTTTCTGCATCGGTTCTGGTGAGTAGTACATCCAGGAATGATAGACTGTAATTTGATTCCCTTTCCATCGTGAATTTTATGTCATCGAAGACGTTGTTAATCCGATTGTAGATGTTAATCCATACAAGGGAATATATTTACTGGCTATTTGGTGGTATCGAAGGAATACTGAAATCGTGCCAGAGAAAAGGGTTGAAGTTACAGAGAGCAGTATAGACAAAAACGTAGCAACACAAACGGAAAGTTTGCGCGAACAAATAAAAAGTTCAGTAATACTATCATTTTTACAATTGGTTACAATACTGAGTGTTTCTATTAAACCAGCCGCGTTCTCTTCGTAAAAGTGAAGTCACTATAATCTGCTAGATTCCAAGTCTTTCAGACGCTAGGAGCAATAACCACGGTGGTTAAAATACAGGAGCTCTGAGTGAGAAAGAAATATGTCTAATCTCTCTGTTTACCTTTTAAACCTCAGATCTAGTAAATCAGCATACACCCTAATTATAAAGTGACCTAATTTCATTAATACACTTAAAGCCTTCTGTTTTGTCCCATCCATTCACAAATCTTTATGTTGTTTCTACTAATCTCTCAGACAAAATAGATGTAATTTACATTCACTCCATATTACTAGTTCATACTGATTTCATACCATTTAGTACATGTCATAATTCTCAACCGAAGAAATAGTCTGATATATGAACAGATTATTATTTCTTTTATTGTATTTAACCTTCATTGATTGTGAACAGTCAACTCATAATCTCAATTAGTTTTTAAGGCTATTTGTGATAATATTACATTATTAGTTATTTCAACGTTTAGTTTTATTTTATTTCGCAAGCAATCCTTTAATACACATACTGTAATTAATTTTGACCAACGACTATAAAACCTGATGAGAAGTTTCACGAAAGAATCTCCTTTCTTCATTAGTTTGTCTATTGAAAAAGCATTTCCACAAGACAAGGATGTAGATATGGAAATTGGTGGATTGCTGTGCACATTTTATAAATTATTTTCAACTACTTATAACTTTAAACAGTAGTAATAATTATTTGAGAAAACTTTTAATCCATTCTCGAGATTTGGTTTAATTAAAAATAAGTATACTATGATAGAAAAGTGTTAAGTGTATGTAGTGCCTCAACAAATCGAACATTCCTATCATAAGTTAAATGAAGCCAGCTACCACAGATTAAATTGAATGTTTTACATAAAAACCAAGAAAGTAAAAGACATTTAATTACAGAAACAAAATGAGATGTTACACAATTGATCATTGACTGTTAATGTTATAAGGTCAGTAGAAGACTGACAATAAGATTCTTATGAATAGAAAGACTTAATTAACATCATTTTCAATTATCATGATGGTGATAGCTTCAGCAGGATATGACAAAAATTTAAACTGTATCTTAAATCAAGTCTCCTTATAAACTTTAATCAATACATTTCATACAAACACAAGAGAAGTCAAGTAGGATTTTATCAATCTATTTTTTTATTAATAACAAATCAACAATCATCGGATAGTCGATTAGAAATTTATTTACATTTAAAAGAAGGAGAACTGATTCAATAATGAGTCGGAAAATTGTGCTAAGAATTATTTGCTTTTCTCCTTATTCTATACCATTTGAATTTTGCTTTTGCTTCGAGATCAGCGACTCGGAAATGGAATCCTATACAAATCAAATCCATTCCTGTTCAACAAGCTTGTGGCTATATGAACTAAAAACTAAAACATTCAGATGATTATATTAGATAAATAGGTCTACTTGTGGTTTTTTTTCTTTCTGTTCACAAACTACCTGACATGTTACAAAATTAAAAGGAAACTGGTTGAAGTCTGACTATGATTCGAATCTTATCCATGACATTCCTATTGAAATGAAAAATAAAATAGATATTACTTTAGTTTATGTACATTAACATAATATTCTTCTTATTATTGAATAATATAAGTTGGAGAACTGATGCAAAACACACTGAACTAATTCAATGTCTTATTCTTCTAGTTTAAGTAAGACACTCTGATAGTGTAACTCATTAACTCTGAATGTACTTGAAACATGTTTTCTAACAATCAATAGACTGAAAATTAGTGACTTATTGTTTATTCAGTCGATTCCAAGTAAATTTTGACGCTCATTTAGTATCTGTCATTCATAGTCTGTTATGCTCTTCCTCTTGAGCTGAATAATGTGTTGAATAAACTCTAAAACAGGACATTTAATAATGAATAGTAGAGTTCTTCGACTAAATAATTTTGTTTAACTGTTGTAATAGTCTCAAACTTTGTTGTTATCTTCTTGTACAGGTCGAAAATTTTAGTTCAGCTACGTCAACGAACATTACAATATGAATTATTTGAATCCCAATATTCAACATCTTGTATACATTGGAATAATATTCGTGAAGTAGCCAGTCCAAGAACAGGATTATTTGCTCCAGTTGCAATGGCAATAAGGAGAGGATGGATACGACTTGGTGAAGCAAATGAATATGTCGATCCAATGACTGGAGTCGCTATTCCATTAAAAACAGCTTATCAACAAGGACGTATACGATTAACTAGTTCATCAAGTCATTATGATAGAAATATTATTACAAATACACCGGTATTATTATTAATTGAAAGAGTATACTATAGTTGGTGTAAAGCTTATTTAACAAGCGTGGTTGATACAGCTACAGGTGAAGTACTATCTCCTGATGAAGCAATAGCAAATGGTATACTTGAAACAACAGAAGAAGAGATACGTCTATTAGATAGTTTAACCAATACATGGATAACTATAGAAGAAGGTGCTGGTCGACAAATAATACAATTAGAACCATCAACTCCTACAACAGAATCTATGGAAGATGAATTAGATGAACCAGTTAGTTGTAAAGTTTATCAACTAACTCATATTTGTCCTGGTGGTGAACCATCTCCTTGGCTAGGTCCATTAGAAGCTGTACGTTTAGGATTATTAAATTGGGAAACTGGAGAAGTTGCAGCTGATTGGCCAGCTAGACCAATGTTACGCAGTATGAGTTCTACAGGGCATTTATCATCAGAAGATTTTATTCCAACTAAATGGTGTAGTTTTCTGACTGCAAAACAAGCTGGTTGGTTAAGATTTATTGAAGAAACAGAACCTCAACGTTATATAACAACATCAGGTACACCGAATAAAGAACCAGGATCACTTCTTTTATCAACACAAGTTAATCTTTTAGCTCCATCTCAAATATCTCTAAATTATGAACAAGATGATATTGAAGACAGTTATCATCGTCAACATAATCGACATCATCAACATGAATTCAATATACCAAGAACTAGATCAGAAGATATTTATACTACTAGAGATATGAGTTCATCGAATTTATATCGTCCAATTGATATATTAGCTGGTCCAAGAAGTGCATCATGTACTCGAGTTGATATAACATCATCATCATTCTATAATGATTATAGAGTTATGCCATCACATTTACAAGTAAGACGTGAAACTGATGAACATTCATGGACAAGTGAAACACAAGTATGGGATGAATATCAAGAAACTTCATCAAGAACCGTTTCACCTGATGAAACAAGAGGTCATCGATAAATTTGAAAGAAAAAACTAAACTAAACTAAACTAAAGAATAAATTACATTTTCATTAATTTTGGAATTGAAATAAACAAAACGAAGAATAAATACATTCCAGTATACATCACTGTCTATCTATTATCATTCATTAACACAATCAGACGCTTTTAGTGCTTATGAAATATTTTATAAATTAAATTGAACAATGAAATTCAAATAAAATGACATTAGTAAAAATAAATCTATTGTTTATATTTACATAGAAATTTTTATAAAAGCAATCAATACTACTGCAAATATATTAGATAATAATTAGAAAACAGGAAAAAAAACTTTTTTTTATTTTTAAAAAAAAATCACTAACTCATTGATGCGGATGCTCTGCTTTTTTTTTTTTTCTACAATTTTCTTCGCTTTTTTGTTGTTGTTGCTGTTGTTCTCGTTGTTTGGTTTTTACAGTGTTTCGTTTTCATTTATCTGGGTACATGTATAACTAACTGCACAGATGCACTCATACACACACACACATACACACATTTAATATTATTAATCAATGAACACAATGTTCTTTCGTATGAGAAAGAGTTTGTGTACCTTTTTCGTTTTGTAATAATAGTATAAATAAACAAATATATATATATATATAAATATTTATTTATTTGGTTCTTTATTCTACACTATTTTGTTTTGTTTAACTAATATACATTGATTATTTATTCAGTTACTATCTATCTACTCTAAGATTTGAATGTACAGTATGAACATGCAGTAAGTAAACATATCAGCCAACACTTATTATTATTATCGATAAGTTAAGAAAAGATATACACTCATTCATTTAATTACTTAAAAATAAAGTAGTCAATTAAATCACTACATCATATCTAGAATATCTAGAATAAAACAAATACGGAACAACCGATCACTTTATAAATAATGTTCGGTGAAAAAGAAAATTTACTATCCATAGAATTCGATTATTGAATAACGCAATTTAGATACCAAACCTAAAACCATATATTCGACTGTGAAGTAGTACTTTGTGTGCGAGGAATACTGCTACTACTGCCCTTCTATTTAAACATAGTGTTTGAACTATGAGCAAGTCAATAAATAGTTCACATCAGTTATTTACTGATCTATAGGCCAGTTGTCTAACTATCAGCCATAATTTCACATTACTAGATTATGAGAAGATCGATTGTACACCACTATCCCGGTCATCAAATTTTCAGAAATAGTAGTCTGAAACATTCATTACTTTTGACAACAGTCAGCATGTTCAATGTTGAAATCGACCTAAACCTCCAGCTCCAAAACACTTAACACTAACTGGTGATTATTTGATATGCAAAACAAAAACCTATCAAGGTAAGAGTAAAACTAAATATCTTCCCTAGACATATAGACTGCCTAAATCATTTACAGATTCAGATCAACACCAAATCTATGTCATGTTCTACACTATCAAGTTACTACTATTGAATAATTTACTCTTGGAACTTTTATCATCCTTCTTCTATCATCATGTTGTACAATAAATCTATTTAATCTGTCACTGAAAAATAACTAAAGTTATACAGTGCAGCCCTCAGAATTCGCTGAAATTTTCTTTAAATGAATTTCATAAATTTTTCAATTCACCTGATGATCCGATATTGGAAGACACTGTCTGATTGATTATGAAGCTATCGGTGAAAAAAAAAAACAACTCAGAAAAGCATTATGGCTTTAGTTAAAAATGATTTCCATTGACGTAGATGGAATGTCAATAGTAAGACTTTATAAATAAAAAACGAGACAGATGACATGTGAAGTATACTCAGAGAATGATGATCACCTGTCGTAAAGTCACATAATCGGTTAGATATTTGATAAAACTGTTTCTATTTAAACAGAAAATAGAAGTGGTCAATGTATAATACTATTACTTCACATGATAACAATAATAACGTATTCTGAATATGAAAAAAAGGTTTTGTTCGAATGTAAAAGCACTGCAAAGAATGTCGAATTTCTTTCCATATAGATTAACGAACGTACCTACTATGGACAATGTTGTAAATGCTTCAGTTAAGCGATACAATTTCTAATCAGTAGATGTGAAATTCTTCCCATTTCAGCTGATTAAAATCAAATACTCATGTACAAATATTGGTTTTACAGTAAGACATTATGTGTCAGTACAAATTATAAACTAGAATATTTAAGAATGAAAGAGTTTCGTAGAGATTTCATTATTTTAATAATTGACTGACCGACCAATGTCTCCAGGTTTCCAGTGATGGTCTAGTTAAGATCAGCTTGTGGTTTCAACTATAAACACAAAATATGTATTAGCCGATTAGACTACATAGGCATAATTCTTATTCATATAAAACGTTAATTGAATGTTTATGTTAACATCTTCATCATTATTGGGTAAATGATTGTCATTTAATTTTTTTTAAACGTCACAAATAAAATTTATCAATTATGTACGTCGACTGAAAAATAAATTAATTTAAAAAATACACTCTCTTATCTTTACTCAATAAAGTTTACATTGATTAAAAAAAATATTCTTTTAATTTACAAATTTACAAATTCCATGTAGTCAGATCAATAGTCAATAAATATTTAGATAGACAGATATGGGAAAAATTAACCAGGTCAGTATATACATCAGGAAAATGTAATAGTACTTGAAAAAAACAACTGAAAAAAAAAGAAATAAAATTATGTAATTTTTCCTAACCAGTCAATCAACAGCAACATAGAACTTCTAACGCACGTACGTACATCAGTTCAAGTTGCCATAACACATCAGCACAGAGATGTCATTGTCAATTCATATCCTATAGGAGTAGAGGTAGTAAAGGTATTAGCAGTAATCAGAGAGATTAGGGTTCGAAGATATTATTCAAGAAGTAGAATCTAGTGAAATAAACTTTAAAAGAAAAAAATAAAGTGATGAGGAATTAAGTAGTTTACGATTTGAGAGAACACAAAGAATGAATGCACCTGTGACGTTGCAAACGGTTTTGAGCGATGCCATTCAGGGTTTCTAACCATCGATTACTATCAACTCGCAAACACCAACCAGGTAGTCGACACCTACCGACATGACTCAGTCCACTTGTCAGTGACTTCATGGATTTGCGCCATGTATTAATTAGTCTGGCCGCCCCTTGCTTTCTTCCAACCTATTCTTGATTGGCAAAATATAGTTCGACGAGGAAATCAGTGGTTAGGCATACTCAACACATGTCCTAACCACCTCAACTAATGAAGTTTCACTACTTTATCTGTTGACCTGCCATCCTTACCTAGGACCCGTTTCCTAACAATTTTTCCCAGTAAAATGTGTGCAGTAAAGTATAGTTGTTATTGATAGGTAATATATACTTAAATTATATGGCATGAATATAACAACATACTGAATAGCTGAACAATAAACAGAAAGAATTTTTTTCTTGAAATTCTTGCTAAACATGCTACCTGCAGTAAGAGTTTCTATTGAACTGTAGGTGTCAGTATTGAAGATGTGTTGTTTTGGTCTTGGAAGGGGATTTCATAAAACCACATCGTTTTTTTTATGTTCACAAGAATAAAATATAAATTTGCGAGAATGAATAGTTGATTTGTTAAAAATCGACCAATGATAGGAAAATATAGTTTGAAATAAAATATTCAGTTCACTTATCGCAATCTCTCAAAAAGTAATTTTGAAAATAGCATCTATTGGTTGTTTGTTTTCAATCGGTTTTCTTTTGTTTGCACTGCTACTCATTTTCCTTCATGGACTGAAATAAACTAAGTCAAAGCAGAGGGATACATTTATAGCAGTGAAAACTAGCTGCACGTCGTACAGAAGAGTTTCATGATACCGATGAAGTAAACAAAAGATGAAACTGTATTTTTCCATTTTCGTGAAATTTTATCTTGTTGTTAGAAGATATCTAGTAGAAACTGAGGAAAAACATCATCTACCTATACTATAAACGTGTTTATCAGATAGACAGATGACTGCGGATAAACAACTCCTCAGTCGTTCGACATTTTGACGTTGTACCTAACAATCAATCAGAATGAAGCGGGAATGATCATTTTCGCTTCACAGCTTCTATCATTCGAAGTACTTACTCAAGGTTTATTTTGCAGAAAGCCATGAACAATAAAAAGTTTTCCATGACAGAAATATCAATTCACCTTGCTGACTATATTTATCACATGTAGTACACTGAGTCATGTTAGAAGAAAAATTACAAAAAGTCACACCTCTGATCAATGCTAAGATAAAAATTAACCCCAAATATGTACAATTTAGCAACTGAATAGCCGGTAATATTGTGGTGCTGTGGTGCGAACTACTTATAAGTAGTATATAGCGTGAGTGTCAACGTAAAGTCTGGTAGCATAAGATGGGGGGAAGATCAAGAAAGGAAGAGTCAGAAAACAATGGAATTTGTATGAAACGCATGAAGAGTGACAATGGATTGATGTTTTGCAACAGGAACAGTCCAGTTCCATAGGATGAACTGATCTTTTGCAAATGAACGATTTACGATATGGTTTTCCGATTTTACTGAGTAACTCTGTAATTTTCGTTAAATACAATTCGGTTGCCCCACCTGTGTTCTCACTCACTACATTTGGTGTCGCTGCCTACGCAAAGGATGAAGATTCCATGGCCGAAGGAGTTTGAAGACGGGGATGTGCGGGGCTTCCTGAAGGAGTTTGAGGCCGTGGCGGAGCTGGTGGGGGTGAAGGAACCGAAGGCGAAGCTGGTGGTGCTGGGGACGCTGCTGAGAGGAAGGGCGAAGGCCGTATATGACGGCTTGGACGGTGCTGGCGGGAAGACGCCATGGGAGGCGGTCGTTGAGCGGCTGATGACCGAGTTCGACAGCCCGGTGGACAGGGAGGAGGCGTTGCGGAAGTTCCGGTTGGCGAGGCTGTCTGCTGATGGTGACCCGCTGGTGCTCGCTGTGGAACTCAAAAGGTTGCTGCGCCGTGCGTTGCCGAATATCGATGAGGAGTCGGAGGCACAATTGTTGGCGTCGCAATTTATTGAGAGTGTGCCTGCCGCTGTGTCCCAGCAGCTGAGATTAGTAAATGCAGCACAACCTATGGACATCGGTGAACTGGCGAAGGTGACTCGTCAGCTGATGACACGAACAGTAGCTCCGGTCGGGTGCGAAAAGCAGAAGATAAATACTTTCGAGAAGAAGATTGAGGAGTTAGAGCGTGAGATAGCAGCATTACGAGTAAATCATAAAAGGAACGATAAATGTTACGCTTGTGGAGAGGCAGGACATTGGAAGATAAACTGTCCAAGAAGACGACGACGACGATATTTTAAACATTATAACGTGTTTTCTTTCCACCCTAGGAATTGGGAGGTTCTTGCACTAGTAGATAGAGGGGCAATTTATGCCAGAGTGTACATAAATGAACGGGAGTTAGTGTGTTTGATTGATACAGGGGCAGCTATATCGTTAATAAGCAAAGAGCAATGTAAGACAATTAAACCATGTACATTAGCTGTCCACACCATAGGAGGGCATATGCTAGAGGTGTTGGGGGTATCTAACAGTATTGTAAAAATGAGTGGAGCTGAGATAAATTTTCCGTTCGTGGTAACCACAAGCTTATCGAGACCGATATTAGGA